AGTTGAGACCAGGCTGCAAATCGATCAAAAGTACGTGGCCACAGTTATTCTATATAAAACTAATGGCTTCCTTGGGTTGCGCGTGGCCAAATACATCCCACGGTTAATGGAACATATCTTATTCGGATACATTTATGCTAATCCCACCTGGAGTCTGCATAAAATCTACGGTACCACATAATCATTATACAACACTAAGCCAAGAGGTACCTCAGCGATGCCACCGTGGCACTATACAGCCAACAATAAATTCCTCCATTCTAATTATCTGCTTGTATGGTAAAAGGGACCGACAACTAAAGAAGATTATATACTCATAGCATCTTGAAAATATCCTCAGCTCAGAGGGACCACAAAGTATCTGTTTACAGGAGTCAGATCAAACACCAGGAATGCCTCAAGTAGACAGTCAAATCAGAACGAAAACAATACTGACCTCATTTACTGCCTTGAACAAAGTGGAACAAAACTGAACGTAGCGCTAAAGACAACAAAACTGAATTATACGAGACGGATGCGAATATAACTTTACCGATTTTGGGAAAGTAACGCAGGCACCCCTGTGAGTTTAAGCAACATCGAGGACAAGAAAACATGTCAGTCACGGTATGTCTCAATCGCATATTGGGAACTGACTATTAAAGGTTAATGTATCTCTTAAAGGTCTTGTACGAGGGCTTTCTACTAACTTTCTCTACACAGACCACAATGGTTAGTTGGCTTGTTAATAAATGTAGTTAATGGCAGCCAGTGCAGAAATTTGTGTCCACCCATGTGCGACACTAATGCAGTAATACCTGCGGTATTCATCAGATGCCTTTACTCGCAGTTCTAGCCTGTTATGACACAGTAGTCAAAATGTGTCATGATTTTAAACGACTGTACCGTTAACTAACTTCGGTCCTAAGTTTCAGGACAATTCACACAGTACGGAAAGCCTCTGGAAGGATTAGCAGTAACATGTTCACAGCCTTAAATGTAGCTTCAGCCTGGCCTAAGCCGGGAAAGTACGAATAAGTTGCAGTCCGTAGCTGAATTCTCGCGATAGGATCTCAGGGACTTTTGCAATTATGCGAATTATGAGGCAGTTAACTTATGACAACGACCTCAAAAAGCGGGAAAAGCATGAGCTCACAGAAGTTCTGTCCTCAGATCTGCAATTCTTTAGGTTTGATAAATGTACCCCATCGACCTAGGAGCAAACACTAAGTTTTTTGCTTCTGTTCAGAAATGACGCTAGTAATATTCTTCGGGGAGAAAATACCTTGTTTAAACAACTGCATAACTTCTTCCTTTTGATGCCTATTGCAGTATAAGGTTTGTTTAGCTAGTTCTCCTATATTGATGGTTTATTCACAAGAAGTGACCTTGGAGCTGATGGTTGTTACACAAGTTCAATAGAATTATGTTATTAAGGAGGTTTGAGTCGACTGTGTATGTAGAGGTGTTGTCCCAGTAAACACTTGTATTAGTAGACAGAAAGTACTTAATGGATTAATTTTCACCTTTGGTGAATCAAGTCTGAAAATAAGGAAAGGGCGCCGCGAGCGATGTAGTAAAACAATAGAGAACTAAAGATTCCAAAATCGTGCAACCGAGGTGTTTAATTCATGTTCTGGGGTTGACCGTTTTGCTTTCATTTAGACTCCTTACCAATGAATGCTTGCATAAGTTTGCACAAATCTAACTCATCAGGAGTGCAGTCACTCAAAATCTAGAAGTGCGGTAAATTCCGATTACTACATGCTCTACTTCCTTAATTACGAGTGCCAAGGAAAAAGTATTAATGGTTTGACTTCAAGCACGATAATTTGTGTAGCATGTTTAGTTGGAATACTTCTCCGGGAGTTACATTTGCAAGGGCTTTTATTAGACTTCGGTTGTTAGACTGGAGGGGCACGAGAACCACTGGCAGATCCACCTAATATGTATCCCCCGTCGGTTTATCCATCAAGACTAATCGAAAATTGATGATATTGAATCGACGGATGGGGAAAACAGAAGCTTTTACCATAGCAGATGCAAAAACATCGTCTTTTAACTACTAGGTACTAAATGAGCACTGACTACCCGAACACCAGAATAAAAACTTTATACTTCGCAAATATTCCGCTTCTGTTTGATTCTGCCACTTGTACCACAGGGTTGGCCTCCGGACAGAGGATAGCACTGGTTACTGAATCAATCCACAAATATATTCAAAGAAACCTTCGTTCTCTTATAAAATTCGTTAAAATTCAAGTATTTTCGTCAAGAGTATGTACCCTTTGGAACTCTTTGCGTGGGAAACGGTAAGGATCTTCGCAGTGGACTCATGCAAAATATCGTTACACAAAACGCTTCGTATGAACGGTTTACCATTAACTTCTCTTGATTCTCTCAACACAACATACCATATCTTCCCACTCTTTTCCCAGTTCTGACTTCCTACGGATACAACTCATGAATTCATATATTCTATTTCTCCCGTTCTCAATCACGCAGTCATCATCTACTGTTTGTCACTCGTCGCTTAAGTCGTAGCAACTCCAACGACCATTGTTTCCGTGAGAATTGTTGCACAAAGGCCATCGCTCTTCCTGGTAGCTCCGCCGTTTCTTTACATACTCAGCATACAAACTGCAGACAGCCATAACCATAAGTTAAACGTGAGGAAGAATGAAGATTTCCTGACCAACTGAATCAGTAAGCAGAAACGAGAATGATCCAATCCTAAGATGTGAGGGTGTAAGCCTGACAGTTAATTTTAGTCACTGGAGTGTTTTGGACCTATTAGATATATTAATACCATCTCCCACACACAGCTAAGCATGCCACCACTGAACCAGGATTACAGGCTGCCTGAACATTACCCAGTATAACCCAATATGGAAGAGTTGCATAGAATCCATGCAACCCCCGCCGTAAATCCAAGCAGGAAAACCCATAGGATGCACTGATATTCGACCGACTTTGTTGGAACGGTTTTCGAGCAACTTTTGTGGTTCGCTCTTTAACCTATTTCAGCACCCCTTAGACAATGCATGATTCCATTAGAGTGGGAACGCGCTCTTCTCTCTCACATATTCAAGTGATGTCAAAAATAATGGAGAGACTGACAGACGACTGTGTCGGAGAACACCTAAGGAATAAAAGGAGCACTGAATGATAATCAGCACCATTTCCCAAAATGTAAGCCCCGCACCCCGGCCCATCCGGCAGACAGCGATAACTGGGAGATATGCTAAGATCCCCAACCTCCTTTCCGTTTGACTTTCTTCGATTTCATCAGGGCCTTTGACATATTTTCACGGGCCATGCCCATGCTCGAAACAACACAGTTGATTATCAACAGCCTGGTGCTGCGGATAACCGAGGATTATGTACACGGCAGAAGTACTGCGCAAAACTCTACAGGGTTCGCTCAACGTAGGGAACATCACCATCTGGTGTATCACGAGCGTCGATTCTGGGCTTGCTGCCGTCCCGTCTTTCCGAAGCCGACCCAACGACAAGTTCCACCCCTTTGGTTTCGCATAGCGCTGACGACGTCAGGCCACAGAGAGCGGTGACGTTTGAAATATGATGGAGTGCAACACAAGGTGATCTCACATCGTTTGGAGAGTGCCCGAATTAAAATAGACTAGCATATGACCTGGATGGATGCGAAACCACGTTTGCCCGTACTTCTGACTCCCCGAAGGTACTCCGATCTCTCTGCAGTATGCACCCTTCCCTGATGACCACTGAAAAAGTCTTGGGGCTAACGACAACTGACAAACTAGACACTAGCTCTAATTATCTTGGAAATGACTCAAGAGACTTGGCAGGGCCAAACTTTACGCGCAGATAACTGGCTGCCACACAGTTGGAACTGTTCCTGAAGCCCTACACAACCTATGTGTTTCCCGACCAAGAGGCACACGACGTCATAACGCCACCATGTCTGGAAAGAGATGTGAAGCTCTTGCAAAAAGTTGTGAGACAAACAATGAAGGGCTTCATAGGAAAGGGACAAAACCTCCGTAACAACAGATTGAAGGACATGTCCCGCTACTTGCTCAGTTACCGAAAGTGATGTAGCAACTGAATAAGGACCAACAAGACACCAGAAGATTCAGGTTGCCGGAAGACCTGACATTTTCTGGGCGGTCACCGTGGCAATCCTCGTGGAAAGCCAGAGAGAATCTTACGTCTAAGGAGGCAAAAGTTCATTTTGTGTTCATCTTGTTTCCCTCTGAGTTTGCGACCACTGAAATGCATTACCTGCCAAGATTGCCACTGCTTCGTTTGCCGAAAGTTTGTACAGAAGGTTGGACAGTTACACAGGAACTAGCCCCTTGCACTCATCCAGCTGAGATACGGACCCAGCCAAAACAAGAAACTGGTTCCGCAGCTCTTCAACACGTCCACTCTCGTACCGAATCTTTATACAGCCACTACTGTCAGGACCTCGACTCAACCTTGTACTTTCCTGTTACATTTCTCACCTCCACCAACCATACCCCCAACAATATCATTGCCTCTATTCCCAATACACCTCCTATAATCCTCGTCTCCAGATGTCCACTATTTCACCTTGTTGGCGAAGGTTCTCCTTATAGTTACTTTCCATTCTTTCTTGAATGTGCCTAGGTCTCTCCATTCCTTTCCGTCTGCTTCTTACCAATCAACTTTTCTCACTGTTACTCGTTCTTTCTATCGGACATCTTTTCACTCCTCATATCTTTTTATTAAGCACATCTTTCTAAAACGATATCTGCGGAATCCACTTGCATAACAGTCTCAGGACAAATCATACAACTCCCTACAAATTTAAACAACACCCAACGACATGTTGGGTATACCAGAGCTACAGCAGGCAAGTAGGTGGACCTACTGCGTCAGAACGTAACATGGACCTGGAAGTGGGCGTAAAGAAATCAACTGGCTTACACCAGCTGATATAACGATATTGGATATTGGTTTGAAGATTGACCTTCACGGTAACAGACTACTGCTCAGTTTGAAGAGGAACGTTGATGATGAATGTAAGTCAATGTGCAAGTCAGTTAAGTATTACTGTAGTGTTTTTGCCTAGCATGGCACATTTTCCTCAATAAAGTTTGAAAATATTACAAAATTTCAAGATTTACTCAACAATTTCCAGACAGACTTGACACGTGCAATTACTGTCAACATATACTCACGGAAGACTACACTCGTCTTCTTCGACATTGCACTTTGTTTCGAGAACCGATGATCAAATAGAAATAGTAAGTAACGGCGTTCTAGAAAGTGAGGATAGGCTGCAAGGTGTGGATGTGAAGCTATAGCTGAAATTATCATTTGCAGTGTATATAAATTCCATTAATTGGTCGCTATTATTTAAATAATTCAATCTTATGTACTTAGGCATTCAAGAAACACATTTTTGTGCTTTGATCAGCTAAGTGTTCCGAATCTACTTTTATTTACCCGGAGCCCGGCAGTCAGTAATTTCACGACGCATCGGGCCAAATAGAGTCCTGTTGGTCCCAGCAGTGGGCCATATGTCGAGTCATTTGTAAAAGCATAGGGCCAGACGTAAGGCAAAATGTCATAAGAATGGGGATTAGCGTTGGGCCGAAAACACTCCGGTCAGGCGCAGGCAAAGTGTTGCGAAACTCGGCACCAGGCCCTACTTTTAGCCTGATTTTATCTATAGTAAGTGGACAAACATTGCCCCATTTGACCCGAAAAAAAATACAAAGGATTAAAATACCAGAAGTTGTAAGAGTCGTGACACTAAGATTGGATGAAGAAATATGTTATGATTTAGAAAGAGAAATGGCATCAGCCCATGCGATCACGTATTATTTTAAATCAGTATGGGTTTATCGCTTTATCAACTAACTTACCTAATTTGAATACTGTGCCCGTAACGCCCGTTTTGGTGTTGTCCTTGCTACGAGCAGATATTGGACCGAAAATGCTCTCATGGATGATTTTGATTGTTTTGTGCATACGCAAACTCATTTCCGGTTGGCGTATTTAATTATGAAATATGTTATGAAAATAAAACTCTCAGGAAATGTGTGCAGGCTTTCAAGGGCCGCTAGACCCTTATACACACATTGCGGTTAGGTACCAGGTCATAATAATTGTCTCAAGAACTACTTCAACTGACTCCCTTACTTGTAAGTCTTATACTTGATTTACCTGTTTGGACATGACATTGTTGCCTATCATTTCTAACCAGCCAGCAGTACGACCCATCGTAGTGTACCAGTTTTCCATGTTAACGCTATCCAAAAGACTTTTATGGTGTAGTACGACCCAATAGAGAACAGGCGTTCCACCAGCATAGCACGGGTCATTGTGATTTGCAAGCCTGATCACCACGTCAAGGTAGCAGCTATCTGTTGGGCAGACAAATTGATCAATTCAACAAAATATTTAGATCACCTTAATAGCTGTTTCATCGATTTTAAAATTACTGCCATAAATTCCACGTCACCTCAGTGACTAATAAACTTTTCGCTTCATCCTCTGTTATCATTATTATTATATTATTATTAGTCCCTTGGGTTCCTAGTGGAACATAGGGCTTCAGTAGCACGCCTCCAGTGACCTCTGTTCTCTGAGATCTTTTGAACCTGGTTCCACGACAGCCCACAGCCTCTCATTTCCTCCTCGCATGACCTCCTCCATGTCACCCTCGGACGTCCAACTCGTCGCTTCCCATGGGGATTCCACTCGAGGGCCTGACGCGTGATGTCCTCAGTCGGCCTTCTCAGTGCATGGCCAATCCATCTCCACTTCTTCCTGCATATTTGTTGCGTGATAGGTTCTTGGTTGGTTCGTTCCCAGAGTTCCTTGTTGCTTATTTTTTCTGGCCATCTGATCTTCAGCAGCGAGCGTAAGCAGTTGTTGATGAATGTCTGTAGTTTATTGGAAATGCCTTTCGTGACGCGCCAAGTCTCTGAGCCATACAAGAGCACTGACTTGACGTTGGTGTTGAAAATCCGTATCTTGTTCCACATGCTGAGTGCAGAAGATCTCCACACTGGTTTCAGGCTAATGAACGCCTGTCTTGCTTTTCCGATTCTGACTTTGACGTCCTCGTCCGTCCCGCCTGTAGTTGAAACAGTGCTTCCTAGATAAGTGAAGGAGGTTACTTCCTTCAAGTTTCTCCCGTTGACGGTGATTGGAGTTTGTTGTTGTTGTTGATGGTGGTGGTGCGGTATCTTCATCACTTCTGTCTTCTCTATATTCACCTGAAGTCCCGTCTTAGCTGCCTCTTCTGTCAACTTGTTAGTTTTTGCCTGCAGATCTTCAAGTTTATGTGACATTAGGCATAAGTCATCGGCGAAATCCAAGTCTTCTAGGTTCTTTTCCGTCGTCCAGTGTATCCCCCTCTTCTCGCTGCCTACTGTTTGCTGCATGATCCAGTCCACCACAATAAGGAATATCATGGGGGATAGTAGGCAACCTTGTTTCACTCCTGTCTTCACTTCAAAGGCATCACTGAGCTTCCCATTGTGGATTACTTGGCATGTGGCATCTTCATATAGTTGTTGAATGAGGCGGATAAAGGTTTGCGGTACTCCGTAGTATTGAAGCAGTTTCCAAATTACTTCTCGGTCGACGCTGTCAAAGGCCTTCTCAAAGTCGATGAAGTTGAGGTATAGAGCTGATTGCCATTCTACGCTCTGTTCTATGATGATACGAAGCGTTGCAATTTGGTCAGCACATGATTTGTACTTCCTGAAGCCTGCCTGTTCCGGTCGCAGTTTTGAATCCAGTGCGTCTTTAAGCCTCTCCAGGATGATGCGGCTTAATATTTTACTTGGGGTGGATAGGAGAGTGATTCCGCGCCAGTTCTTGCAAGCACTGAGGTCTCCCTTCTTCGGCAGTTTGACAAGGTAACCCTTCTTCCAATCGTCAGGTACCTTCTCTTCCCTCCACACCTTCTGCAATAGTGGTGTGAGCATGTCCGCTGTTGTCTCTGCATCTGTTCTCAGTGCTTCTGGCGGTATTCCATCTGGTCCTGCTGCTTTCCCGCATTTCAGTAGCTTTATGGCGTTCAGGACTTCCATTTTCGTTGGGGGATTTATGTTCACTTGTAATTCAGCGGCTGCAGGTGGTATTTCTGGACGAAGTGCAGGTGGTGGTCGATTCAAGAGCTTCTTGAAGTGGTCGGCCCATCGTTTCCTCTGTTTCTCTTCTTTTGTAATTAAATTTCCTTCTTCATCTTTTATTGGTTTCATCTGTGTTGGTCTCTTCCCTGATAGCAACCTGGTTATTTGATACAATGTCGTCAGGTCTCTCTTACCTGCAGCCTGTTCTGCTTCACTTGCCAGTGTTCGTAGAAGTGTCTTTTGTCTTTGCGTGCACTCTTCTTCACTTCTTTATCCAGTGTTTTATACATTGTGCTCAGTTCCTCTTGTCGTTGAGCATCCTTGCACTGGTTTATCTTCTGCTTCACCATCCTCCTCTCCTCTATCAGCTTCCAGGTATCCGTCGAGATCCATTCCTTGTCTTCTTTCTTCTTCCTTCCTAATACTGTTGTGCAGGTTTCTTTCCACATAGCTTTCAAAGACTTCCAGTGTTCTTCTACACAGGTTTCTTCAGGGATGTCCCTCGACGTCTCCCATTTTGTCTTGATGGCTGCTTTGAAGATCTCCTTTGTAGTTTCATCCTTCAGTTTCCGAGTGTTGTACTTGAATTGAGGTCTATCACCAGCTTCCTTGAAGGCTTTTAACTTGATTTGGAAGGTTCCTTGCACTAGATAGTGGTCTGAACCTACATCTGCTCCTCTTCTTGACCTTGTGTTAAGTAGACTGCGTCTCCATTTTCTTGAGATTGAGATAAAGTCGATTTGATTTTTAGTGTGTCCATCTGGTGAAGTCCATGTCGCTTTGTGGATATCCTTGTGCCTGAACACACTGCCTCCAATCACCAAATCGTTGAATGCACAGAATTCTGCAAACAATTCTCCATTCTCATTCATTTCACCTAGCGCCTCTCGACCCATGGTTAGTTCTCTTCCCGTGTTGTCCCCTCCCAGTTTGGCATTCATGTCGCCCATTAGAATTTTGATATCGCCAACTGACGTCTTGTCCAGTGTTGACTGAAGTTGTCTGTAGAATTCCTCCTTTTTCTCTTGCTCTGCATTATTTGTAGGTGCATAACATTGTATGATTGTGACCTTTCTTCCTTTTGAGTTGAATCTTGCTGTCATGATCCTGGAGGAGATTGGTTCCCACTGCATGAGAGCCTTCGATGCTCTTGAGGACATCATGATAGCCACTCCCTCAGTGTGCTCGTGGTTGGCGTCTGGGTGACCGGAGTAGATTATTGATTCTCCAGTTGACAGTTTGGAGAGTCCACTCCCATTCCATCTGCTTTCGCAAATCCCAAGCACTTCGATGTTATACCTTCTCATCTCCTTTGCAATCTGGGCTGCCTTACTGGGTTCAAACATCGTGCGGACATTCCATGTCCCCACGTTTACTTTCGCTTTCATCGAGAGAAGACACATCGGCCAATTGGCTTCCCGAAGGCTTTCACCAACTGGCGTCATTTCGCCTCTCCGATTCCAGCGGGGAATAAGTTTGTTTTCATTTTTTATATTTTGTTTGTGCTTTGAAGTTTCTTTAGCGGTTAGATTTGTTTTACGGGGTAGGGTTGCTAGCCCTATGCCCAACCTTCCCTCTTTACCCGGGCTTAGGACCGGCTAGTAACTAGTAAACTAGTTAACCAGGCGAGGTTATCAACGGAGTATTGGTGACAGTTATTGACCAGTGTACATCTACTACTACTACTACTACTACTTCTGTACGACGTCCTACATGGACTTTTTCCCTGTCTGCCTGACAGTTGATGAATAATCGCTTGAACCAAACTATCAGTTCATCGAAGTCCACCTGTAATGCATGTTTGATTGCATCGTTTTGAATGACCCTACAGATATTTACACCAGTAAACAAGGACCCTGAAGATTTGGGCATATTCAGCAGTTCATTAAAATTCGACATAAGCTTTTTCCTTTAGGAACTCCACTTCAAAAGTCTTCACTTGGTTCCATTTTCTTTCACTTTTGCTTTCTGTCATACAGGAAGTCGGTAATCGAAGTCTGCTATGTAAACTTCACCGATAATTTAGGGTGAGACATTCCATCAAAAGTCATTGAACGCTACGTTCATGTTCCTTTCCGATAAGCATTATCAAGCAGGATTGTGCAACCTGAAGGCTGTTTATGGTGCCAAAAAATCATTCGGTTTGATATGACCAGACATGTGTTCTCTAGTTATTCTGCATGGAAAACGTTGGCAAAAGCGGTAGTCAGACTTACTGAACGATGTAAATCGATCATTATTAGCAGAGTATTTCTGTTACAACTGTTGCTTACTTCGCTGTTTTAGTCTATCGAGGAAACCTCATAACATTTTACAATAGATGTTCAACTTTTAACAAGCTAAGATTCCGCCAAGCTCTCTGACTCCCCATTTAATACTAGATACAGAATTTTATGCAGTATCTAAATCTAACTTATGTGTTTAAAATCCGAAAGTTTTTACATTATGATCACTATTTGTCAACGACAGGGAGGGGGAGGAGTACTGGTAATCAGTAACGTCCTCACACTGGCGAGTGAGGACTAAGTCTAATGATGATAACTTGTTTGAATCTGAATGTGTTAGACTAGCTACTTTTTGAACTGGGACAGACTCTGGCACTGACAAAAGTAGATCATTTTCAAAGCAACTACTTGACACTAAGACCATAGTCCTTCCAGTTTATGTGCTCTGCCTTTAGGTCGATAAGTACTAGACATACATCACTTTCACTTTAGTCGTGTATGTGATTCAATACGAATTTATTTGCGAGGAAGAAAGAGCTACCGCAGTTTACCCCAATAGTAAACATACTTTACTTCATTTTAAACCTACAACTAGTCACTTTACATTTCCTGCAGTCATATACTTTCGAATTGGTTAATCGTATTTGGAGGTCATCGTGGACAAAATGGTACATCAGAACCCTTGTGACTTGTAAAGCTATGACTCCAAACGCCAACACAGAAAATCGTGGCAGAATCTGCATCCTATATGAGCTATGTTTCGGAAACGAAAATTGAATCAGAACTTAGTTCGTAAGACCAATGCTTCCAGTTGCGACATTTTATTCTTAGTGCTGCGCGTACTGGTGTAGAGTATGTTTAAGGTACTTAAGATGCCACCCAACTCACCAATACAAACCTTGGAACCATTTGTTTCTAAGACTTTCACAATCCTGAAACCCACAGGTTTCAGGTTTTATTCTATTTCCTCTTACTACGAAAAAAATTTCAGCAAGAACTTTTTTGCACTTGAGAAGGCCAGATATGGATGTTAAAATTGAGCACGTTTTGTGCGTTATCCAGGACGGTATTTTTTATTATTAGTCACGTAAGCTACTTTAGGGATCCTCCGCTCACTGGGTTTATCTTTCTTTGCCTTTTCTAATCTAATCATTTGGAAAATAAATACTCAACACCAAGACCGACTTCAGTAGACATCGGTAAACCATCCTTTAATAATTTATTGGTCACCTTCAAACCCCCATTGGATCCATAACCTCAGTAAGATGGTCGCAGACCTTCAAAGGCATCGTCGAATTTTTCAGAATGATCCAGTCAACCTCACAGGTTGTCTTTCCAGCATTGATTTGACAACTCATACATCCTGCGATTCAGTAGGCCGTAGTGGCATTTTCCAGTAATAGTACTGTTAACCTGTCGAGCATTCATTACGCAGTACCGCAATGCATACCGTCTAACTGTGCACCTACGTGACAACGTTTCCAAGCTGATTATGTTCGGTCATCACTGTCTGCATGTTCTACTGTAGTAAACAGTGACACCTATCGGATTAATTTATGTTTAGAGGTTGTAGGTCAACAGATATAGTTATTTCTACGTTTGATTCCATCGTGGTGTTTTGTATACTAGCCATTGTCTGCTGACATCGCGACTAATTGGGATATCGCGAAGGCTGTTAGTTTATGAAGCATCTCAAGATGGATGAATACAGTTTTGCCAACTGATATCGGTACATCTCACTTTCATAGTAAAAGTACTAAAGATGGTGTGTTTTAATGTCTGGAAATATTGATTCATGAATGCGCTTGGAAAAGTAGTAAAACCTGTTGAACATATTCTATAAGATCGTTTTTCTCTTAGTCACCTTCTTCACTATTCTTAGCTTTCTTCCAGTCCATATTTTTACAATCATATTCTTTTTGCTGTACTTCTTGTTTCTTCTACCAAGTTTATTTTTTAGGCAGACAGTATAAACAATAATTCTTTAGGAACAACTGTTAGTAATTGGTACTTTCTTTTACCACTTTTTAACCGAGTTAGTATGTTTCTTCACGTTGTTTGGTGCGCGGTTAGCATATTGTCTTTCATTTGACTGGTGTTAACTGATTTATATAAAGGCATACGCATAAAACACCATGTTCTATGCTGCGAAACTGCATCAAAAATTTTTAAGTACCTGTTACTCTTTTCACTTCTTTCTTGTCAAAATCGTATAGCTTTTTGTATCAAATGTTTTTTTTTTCAAGAGTACCATGGAGTGTATAAATTCAATTGGCTCTGAACCACCGATGTTGAAGAAATCGGAAAATGATCCACGGGAATATAAAGTAATGCTTTTGCGCAATAGGATGAAAGTGCTTCTGATAAGTGATCCGAATGCAGATAAGTCTGCAGCCTGTTTATCTGTCAACATCGGTAAGTGGCGTCCTGTCTTTCTAGTGCTGTCCTCTTAGGTTCACTTTCAGATCCGAAAGAACTACCTGGTCTTGCCCACTTTTGTGAACATATGCTGTTTCTTGGTACAGGGTTGTTTCCCATAGAAAATACATATTCAAAGTACATATCTGAACATGGTGGTCACTTCAATGCAGCTACAAAACCAGATGAAACTACTTTTGTCTTTGATATTGCCCCTGAAAATCTGAATGAGGTTCTGGATATCTTTTCCCAATTTTTTGTCTGCCCACTTTTTACAGAATCTGCAACAGAACGGGAGGTTAGCCTTTTTGATACGTTTCAACTTATAAGTGTGGTAGAATGTAATTCCACATTAGATTTGTTTATTTGATATATAGCGCACGGTGATACAGTATTATTTACTTGATTACGTTTCGAGCATAGATTATTGCTGATAATCATATCACATTGATATCTCTCTTGAACACAAAGATGTTTATCATATTATGAACGTATATATATATATATATATATATATATATATATATATATATATATATATATATATATATATATATATATATGTCTATTGAGTTGGTCTGCCTTAAAACGATTTGGTTTTTGTCAGAGTAGCAGAACGACATTATGCAATGTATTTCATCAAGGTCTTGAATCTTATGCTCAACGTTTGGTTTGAAATTTGGAGATAAACTGTAAATGAATTTTTGCTCAGTTGATTCATTATTTTGGTTTCTTGGTTTGGATCAAATTTTGTGTCAGCTTTAAGTTATTTTCAAATAGAGGTGCGATTCAAATTCGTCGGACTGATGTAAATTTGTTTACTAGGTTGTGAGCCACACCTAGTGTATTGATACATGATAATACTTGGTTGTCTAAATGACGTAGGTTGCGTATGAACCCATGGACCAGTGTTTAGTGGCAAAATTCAGAAGCTAATTGACCACAGCTTAGCAAAACAACAATACATATTTGCATCAGTTGATATCCCCACGAACAATGGTCAGTAGTGTGAGGAAAACAGTAAATCATGATATTATAGTGATTTACTTAATTCTATGAGAAAAACGTTCCAACCTATCCTATAAATGCCAGAGTAGCATTCAGTAATATCCGCTATTCTCTTCTAAGTTTTATCACTTCTATTTGCTTTGTGGTATTTCGGTGCTAGCGGTAGCACAATCAAGTCTTGACCCAAATCTCTTAGAAAAGCAGTATGTGACTAGTCTTAAACTAAAATACCTCATAGGCTGCGTGGTCGCGGATGGATGGAGATAGGGAATTACTGAGTAGAGTGACGTAAGTACTAGGTAGTGTGTGACATTCAGAGGTAGTCGCATCAGATTTGTCTAGATGGTTAACGATTCTATTTTATAAGGAAGGAAAAGAGTCTTCTTGTGACAATCACAGGGGATCACTTTGACTAACATCTTGTCCGAGATCCTAGAGTCCCTAGTTATACGACGGTACATCAATCATATCTTCACCCTTGGTTGTATTCTTTACACCATGCATACTTCCTAACACCCAATACTTTCTGTTTTTAAACCTTAAGGCGGCATTTTACTGTATCGGCCATGAGGTGTTGTGGTAGTGTCCGACTGTGAAATAACCGAGCGAGTATATAATGCTTATCAAAGCTGTCTATTCAAACTCGTTCAGCCGTGTAGAGACTGACGTAGAGTCGTTTTCCGAATTGACGACAATTAGTGGTGCCCACAGTGGAGGCCCACTCGTCGCTCCTATTTAACTTCGTCATAAATATAATAGTGCAGATAACCTTAGGCACGTCTAACTTCACAGGGGTTGATCTACTCCCTGGAGGGTATAGTTAAACTAGACTATGCGGATGACCGTGTCTTGCTAGGCACAGATGATGGTAAGATGCTGAGTCTTCTGAACACGTTGAACAGAAGTCTTTGTATGTTCGGTGTGCGTTTCGCACCTATTTCATGTAGTATTATGTTTCAGGACTGGTCTGTACCTGTTTCTAGTTTAACCAGATGGAGTGAAGTAGTTGGATGGATTGACCGCTTGACTTACTTGGGGAGTTGCATCAACCTGAAGGTTATGATTCCTGACGAAATCTCAGTTCGGATATTGAAGGCCAGTCTGACATTTGGGAAGCTACGTCATCTCTGGTGCTGACAAGACACATCTGACTACCTGTTATAGGTCAGGCATATTCCACTGCAATTCTTTCTGTCCTACTACACAGTAGATGGAAAAAGATGTAAAGAAGTTACATAATTCTGAAGACAGGTGTCTTTATGGGATTGCTCACGCATGGTGCAATCACCGTGAGAGCAAAGTTGAGGTTAAGTAACACATATATGGCAAGCCAGTAGATGAGTCGATGTGATCGTGAACCTTCGGCGACTGAGATGACGTGAATGTGTTGCGCATTCATTTACGTCCAGACACTTTAGTATTATGTGGTTTCGTCCAGTAAATTTACTCTTAGTTGCATAAATATCTATTTGGTATTCCATAGGTCACATTACTTTTCGTATGAAACACAGCTAGCATAGAGTTGTTTTTAATAGGTATTAGTGAGCATGTAGAATATTTTGAGCTAATATCAGCCTGCTGGAAAGTTTGTTCACAATAAAGAGATTTCGGAAATTGTTAAATTTTTGAGATTAAAGAAAGAATACAGTCCAACTCAGTAGACAATTCACCAAGCTCTGGAAATTGCATCATTTTATCGCCATCATTATTTTCAAATCATGTTTTTGTAATCCCACCGTGCACATTTGATTTCAGCTCAGCTGCATCCACTATTTAGCATAGTCCTACGGTAGCAACAGCTATTTACTGAGTAAAACAAGACTTTAACTGCATGGGTAAGGAATTATATTACGCTCATGAATTATACAGAAATTGTAAGCTTTAACTCCAAACCGCTGGTAATTCGTGTGTGACGGAATTCCGAGCCCCGAATTTGTAAAGAAGGTAAGCGAGAAATGCAGAGAAACGGTTTTACGAACGTAACCTAAAGGATAGGCAAACTAAAATTTAGAGAAAAGAAATAACAAAAGAATATGTAAATAAGTTGAATTCAGAATATGTTTATCGAAACCGTTTCATGGTGTTCATACGTGGGACTGAGAACAGTTCTCATTGATAACTTTAGCACAGTAATGCGGTCCCTCCATTTGCAGTACCTTCAATATTCTAAACCCCTTTTAGATACCAACTTTGTTCCCTGTATTCACAAGATATTTGCAAGACTGTATTACTGAAAACCTTAATTTTTTCTTGACGGAAAGCCCTAAAAGACTACTATAAGACCTTTTGGTTTTTGTTATGTGCGTAGTACTGCGCATGCTCAGCCACCTCCTAACTCGACCTGTCATGCTAGGGGAAGTTGGATTAGGTTGGAAGACAGTTCAGTGTGACCAGACCAAGACGTGGCACCAGTTGATGAAGTCCCTGACTGTTGGTCTGAGTTGTGTGGGGAGATGTAGACTGCCTGGCTGGGGCCTCCGATGCTAGAGAAATCAGTGGTTGACGACACTTGGTGACATGGCTAAAAATTAGTCACAGTAGCGCAGATATATTCACTGCTTGACATCTGAAGCTTGAATATTCGTACTCACCTCTATCTTCAAATTGTTTATTCTCTCATACAACTATATGTTCATTGATATTTGTCTTTTCCTATCCATTTGTTCTTTGTATGCTTTTATAAAATGTTGCAACTTCAGCCAGTGCACTTGTGTGCGAGGTTCTACGTTGACTTTGCCAGTCAGCAGAGCATTTTCGCTTGTGTACAACCCCACTTACCAGCTGTTTTAATTTTAGGTTAATGCTGTACAGTCAGAACATGAGAAGAATATAAGTAATGATACTAGACGTCTTTTTCAACTAGAGAGAAGTTTATCTAAGAGTGATCATGACTATGCGAAATTCTTCTCCGGCAATCGATATTCTCTATTTGAGTCAAGTAGTGCACAATCTGTAAATACACGTGAACAACTGTTACAATTTCACTCAACATGGTATTCAGCAAATATTATGGGATTAGTTATTCTTGGAAAAGGTAAATTTAAATGGACAGTGTTTCTACAATAAAGTTAATGCATATAACTGCTTTCTGAGGTGTTGATTTTCCTTATAACTAACTACAACCAAATTACATTGCAATACCTTCATATTAATGCAATCCTTGATTGTTTTATTGTAAATTTGTATTCGTAATGGGTATTTTGACACAATGATACCTATTATGATAGTTTACTCGGTTGTGGCTAGCAGAGGAATCCAGGACGCGCGTTTCGTTCTATTAGGGAATCTTCAGCTGAATCCATCTGCACCCCAGTGAGTGATTTTGGGACTCGGACTTCATACAAATCGCTTCAAATACCAAACCGTTATCCACGCGCGTCCTGGATTTCTCTGCTGGCCACAACCAAGTAAATTATCATAATAAGTATTCAGGCAATATCGAGGCATCCCATCCATATGGCAACAGAGGTCGAACAATTCTATTCAGTAAAACAACCGAGAATTACAAGCATATCGAAAAATAGAAACACAGCGATGCTACTTAATTTTGGTAATGCTTCGAGCACACCACACCAATTTTTAATACTATTTGTTAACACGTTTCATGTATATAGTGTTTTTATTTTGTAGACTTGTCATCACTTTTGTCCAGTACTATGTTGTTACTTATTGTTGACAGTTCTGCTGAGTCACCTTTTTTGCATGTTAGGTGTGACCTGTATGAACATGGATTCACTCAAAGATCCTTTAATCCGTAAACGTGTGAACAAATAGCAGTAACAATTAGAGTGATCACGGGTGGTCATTTTGCTTGTTTGTGTGTAAATATTCATTACAAATATATTTATCATAAATTGATTCTCTCCACTATGCACAAATTTTGCATGAATATAATTCTTGACTACTGAAAGGTTTTCATGTTGAAAATGCATTGAAGAATAGAAATCTTCAGTAAGATTGTGGGGTATAGCTTCTTTTCTTCGTTGAATCTGTGTTTCATTGACTTTGGCACTTGACCTTCAACCAGATGGTTAAAGGTACAATTCCCCTTATACCTGCCAAAGTTCAAGCTGTCAAATAGTATCGTTAACCCTAATATAGCGCACTCCACTGCTCTGCATTTATTTGCTCATTTGTACTACATCATGTCTTTCTCGTCAGTTAACTTGTGTTTTAAATCAGTATAATTGTAAACATTTTAGTCTCATGTAACCTTTACATTCACACCATCTCGCGGTAGTAATTGTTTTTGATTTCATTCAAGATTATTACACCATAGAGATGTAGATCAACTTTAAGGATGATAGTGGTACTTGGTGGTCAAATATTTTACCATATTTTGGCGCCTTTCTACTTGAAATCTAAAATATGAAACATTGTGGTAGGCAGTCATCTTGGTGACTAGCAGTGGAATCCAGGACGCGCGTTTTGTCCTATTTGGAACTGGTTAGCGGGATGTACTTACAACAGGAAATTACAAGTAACAAGACAACGAGTGATACTCGTTGCACAAGAGGTGGCTATCATGCCCCCAGTGGCTTAGTGGATAACGCGTTGGCGTTTGAAGCAATGGCTATTGGGTTCGCGTCTCAGAGGGGACAAAATCAGTCACACCATGTACATCCAGCTGACGAGTAGCAAATAGGAGAAAATGCGCTTCTTGGATTCCACTGCTAGTCACCGAGATGAATATAGTATCATGAATATCCGGTAGTATCGAGGCATCCGCGCAAGAGCTTATCTGCCAATAGAGGTCGAGCGATCCGGCCTTGTATAGCAACGGGAAAATACAAGAATTACAACAAAATTATCCAGGACACTTAAATCAAACTGGGCTACTAGACTTACTCACTAATTGCTAAACATGCCACATATACTGAATGTTTATCGGTTAAGAGTTTCACATAGGTAATGTTACATTAATCTTAATATTTTAAAGAGAACCAATGCATATACTTTAGGTTTTTGTTGTGAGAAAGCTAGTTTTTTAAATTTCAAATTGACACAAATTTGGAGGAAGAAATATCAAAATACTAGGGTTTCCGGTCGTAGACTGATAGCTATACTTCCTATAGGATTTTGACAGTATTTTTAAGCTTAACAGAAAGTTCATTACAAAAAGTATGCATCATTCTATATATTTTTTGTTGAATTAAAGTAAAAATGAAAGTGTAATATCAGCACTAGTAGTACTTAGCATTCAGTCTTAATTTGCTGTTTCGATCTTGAGAAATCAGCGTTACTATTTCTCTCAGTGCATTTTCATTTGCAATGTTTCTGCAAACAAGCTCAAACTAGGTTACCATCTTTGGTGTTGATATGTCTGTTTTTTAATGTGGTTGTGGCATGTGTTATAAATTAAGTAAACAAATCTAATATGATTTATTATTCGTACAATGTTATAAAAACTCCTTTTCAAGTTGGCATTATCACTATGCTTGAGACATTTATATTTGATGGATATTCTGAGTGAGGGGAATAACTGTTGAATACGACTTTAATACTTGTTGCATGAATCCTCAACAGACATGGGGACTGTTTACTGTATGATTCAGTTACTTACGTACATCATCCTACATATGCATAGTTCCGGTTTAGGGCAACTATATTCCCTTATATTGGTATGGATTTTAAAAGAAGAAACCGAAGTTTGTGCATAAAAATATTTTATGCCTGCGCAGTATGATTTCAGCAGTTTGATCACATATTCAATTGGCAAAGTATTTCATATGAGTTGAAAAAAGAAACTGAAATACATTAAAAAAATATGAGTCTCAGACTGGATGAAATGCACGTTCTGGATTCCACTGCTAGTTACCATCAAGCAAATGCATCTATTTAGTTAATTTTTGTTCCATGGAAAGACGAGAATGCTAATAATTCATAGTTGTTAAGTCTCAGATATTTATTACATTACATTTTAACCTTGTCAGTATTCGATGCACAGAGATGATTGAAGTTGTAATGGAAACCTGGGTTGCGGCAGGATTCCAACCAACAGCCTTCAGAATACTGGTCCAGTGCTTAATCATCTGAGCCACGAGACCCAGTTGCTTCACTTTAATTATTGAGAGTTATTCCCACTTATCATATGAATACGTGATACGTGATTACTCTCTCGTCGTAATTACAGCTGCTCAGTTAGATCACAGATTCTAACCCCGATCCACCTACTAGATGTGGTGTAGTCAGCCAGGTTGTATCCTTAGCCCCCATACAATAGGTGTGGCTCATTGCCTAATGCAGGGACATGCAAATGATTACTGAATTCCACTATTTCTTACACCAATCTGAATTGAACTGGATTGAAATGAGAAAACGTCGGATTGATTGTTGATGGGACTATTTGATGTGACCATGGTTTGGCAGACTGCTATTAATATTTCTTGAGATAATCATCTTTTCATTCGTTAAATATTGAAGTAAATATTCATTTAGTATTTTTTTTATTCAGTAACGAAGCTCAATAAATTAGTTGTTTTACAGTTTAGTAGTTTCTCCATTTTCCATTACTGCCACTGACTAAATTCAGTGTTTACTTCGTGAAGACAAAAATAAGCATGAATATAATAACACATAAGTAGGTAAAATAACATAATTTAACAATTGGCAAATTAAGGGGAAAAACAATGGACGGAAAATGACTTGTTGATAATGATAACGAATGATAAGAAGATAACAAAGGAAATAGGTTAAGGTAGGAAATTAATGCTGTAAATGTATACGTTCAAAATCCAGAAAAGGGTGAGTTTTGAATACTTATGCTGCATTGTGATCAGTATTCAGTCATATGTTTTAAACTCAGGGACTGTTTATTTTAGCTGCTTCATCGACTCCACTCAGGTAGTCTACAGATACAGACCTCACGTATTCATAACATACCTTGGTGCGACATCATGCTTTGACTCTTTCGTTGTATTTCTTTCTACAAACTCATCTAAATTGCTTCCTCTTCTTCAACTGGCTTGCGCTGCTAACGTATCCGGAAGCGACAGCTACTTCATGAAGGATGAAAAACTGATTTTATACACACACATTATTTAGGGTTATCAGAAAACTACATATTTAAATAGGACGAGAACAGCGGTTTAAGCATTTTCTAAAGCTACATATTGGTAACGTTATGACCAAGCAATGCTATTTGATCTAAGTGTACAAAAGAATGACTATAAATTATATCAATCTTTACGGAAAGAGCGAAGGAAGTTATGACTACTGAGGATGAGGGTAGTTGATACACCTGATGGACATTGTAGAACTTGAACATCTCAGAGGATAGCTCATCGTGAGCTGAAACATGACCTCAAGTTTTCGAGTGACCAACTTTTAGCTGTGCAGTGCTTGTGTCAAGCGCTAAATTCAAGTAGCGCATTCAAATCAGGGAACATAATTAATGTTGGTCATTAGTAAGCATAATGAGATCTGAAGTAAAGTTTAAACATGGTGCATAAATCCATGACTAAGTGGAAGCCTTCCTATGCATTTGTTAGTCTCAAATTCCACTTAGGTTCCGGATGTTTATGGATCTTAGGATATCTCTGAAGCTGATTCTTCTGCATTTATCGCAATTAGAAGGACAAATATTAGAGATCACCCGTGGAAAGTAATTTACAGTTCTCACAATCCAGATCATACTTTGACTGTCATGAATAATAGCCTTTGTCCACCATCTATGAATAATTGTTTAGCAAGTCTTCTAAACCTTCTGCTCCTCTTTGCTCTAAGTTATTTTAAAGCCTTCTGATCTTCAGAAAAAACTGCACTCTGACGTCAGTGCTTCATTCAGTTTGTGACTTGGCGGTGAGAAACTAATGAGTAGCTAATGACCTGTTGAGCTGTTTCTCAAAGTGTTTTTTCTATAATTTTAGTCGTATGGAATGAAAGTAAATCAGCGAACTGTCTTTTTCTAACGGCAGTCTAGTCGACTTGTCACTTCTAATATACTCATTTCTTTGATTTTATCCACTCACCACTACTCATCAGTTTGTGAACTCTTTTTCAGATTTATATCCAAGCTGCTTTCACATAGTCGTTTGGAAACAACTAAAATGAGTGAATTGCATCTGTTAAAACCGATAAGAATGAACTGGACTTTCTTAGTAGGAATAGTTTATATCCATCTTTTACTATTGTGCAAAATAAATTATTCATGCTCATTTTAGTTGCCTCTACCTGAAGTAATTCTCTGTTAGTTTTGTTTAATTCATTGCTTATTTCGATGTAAGATGATAGACATCTTAACCGGAAAATAGCTGCCTTCTTGAGTATTTATATCATGCGTGCACTGTTGATTATATCGTACTTTTAAATATGATGATCAGAATTTCTCTTTCATATTTTTTTTAGAGTCCATAGATGAACTTCAAAAGTTTGCGGAGAAAAAGTTTTCTGAAGTTGTTGATCGCAATGTTGTCCAACCATCTTGGAATGAAACTCCATGGCCAGATATATGTTTGAAGGTATGATTGTGATCACAATTTCATTGTGGTTTATTCAACAGTAAAACCTACATATTTCATGCATTTTTAATCAGTCTTTTTGTTTTTAAACAATGTAAAATTATTCATCAGATGTAGTGCATCAGCTTTTTATTGAAGAGTCTTCTGAAGTTGAAGTTCATTTCTTTTTTGTTACGATATAATATTTGCAACTGTGAGAAGTACTTCTGAAGATGGATATGTTTGTGACTACATAAAAGCCTTCTACGGGGTTTTTAAACACTGCAGTGATCAATTTGTATTTTAAGGAGAACCTCAACTGTTTACTTTGTCTTACACTCAGGTCTTTAGCCTGCTATCAAAACTGGTTATCGTTCGTAAAGGAAAGAATTTACCAAAAGTCAGTCGAATGTACTTAGTTCCCCGTCTGTTGAAAATAGAATTCAAAGCTTGTATTACTAATTTTAGTATTACACGAATAAAGCTATAGTGTTACCTATAAAATTTTGAGTCGTTTTTCGAGTGTTACTTTATGCGGATCCTCACTGACTAAGTGCAAATAACAAACACTTCAACTTTTAACTGTTCAATCTTTTCACAGTACTTAGCATTACTTTTGAATAGGTATTCTTCTGTGATCAGGTTTAGCAGTGACTATTGTCTTCTAAAATCTAAATTTATAAATTACCTTCAGAATAAACGATACTTTTCGAAGAATAAACTCCTTTTTTGAATGAATTGCGAATAACACCCCAAATCCTTATCCCCTGTGGTTATACTTCATAATCTTTGGTAGTGATGAGATGTGTTATGCTAGTGTTGAACTACTAGTGAATTTCTAGTTATAAACTTCTCAAAAGCTTTCAGAAATCTTAAATTGAGTCACTAGATCCTTTTAGAAACCCAGTTGTATTTACCGTTTTGTTTTGGTGTGGTGATAACTCAGTGTTCATTAACAATAAGATGTAGTTGGCTACGAATTCTTTGCTCATATTTGATATTATAGTGTCTACAATTAACAACCATGAACTCTTGATTCCATTTACTGTAAGGGGATTGTTCAGTGTTTTTGGTATGTATGTGCTTTGCATCATCGAAATGCAAGATTGACAGAAGCCTGTGTTTGCGTTCATCCATGGTAGTGAACTGTTGAAAGTTTTCGAAATGTTCTTGTACCGAATTAGTTATACGAGTGCTGATAGAGGTGTTACCAGTGAGATTTTCAACCTCATTTTGAAAGGCAAAATCGCATATACCTATCTGGGCCATCTATGATATCATCATGATGTTAGCCTGTCTATATAAGATCGTGTATTCAACGCGGCGTTGTGAAATCTATTAATATAGGTGTAAAACTTGGGCGCTGTGGTAGAATTTAATTCCATATTAGATTTGTTTACTTGATTTATAGCACACAGTGATCTAGTATTATTTACTTGATGACGTTTCGAGCATAAATAATTACTCGTAATCATATCAATGTAATTACACTACTTTCAACATTTGATTGTTATAGTTACGTCACTTTATATCAGTTGTTTTTTGTTGGTAGCAAAATTTTCCATATCTCTGGTATAGGGGCCGTGTCATTTCTATTACATATGTTGAGTGTTGATTCGATGAATAAAGATTCAGTAATCAATCTCTCTCTCCACCTAATTATATTGGACTTTATCGCATCCTATTGTGTGGTTGTGTGTTAATGCAAGCATAGATTATTGGTCTTATTTAGGTCTGTTATTCTATATTTAGCTAAATTCCTATGTTCGGCTATTCTAACTGACCCCGACCGACTAGTTTGACCTATATACTTGACCTCACGGTTATTACATGGTATTTGATAGATTGGATTATTTCGCCTAATTGGTTCTATCGGATCCTTAAGCTGATACAGTTTATCTCTGAGTGACTTTGTAGGTTTAAATGCCAACCTAATCCCAGCTCTGTTGAGGATTCTACGTAAAGTTTTTGAGGTACCCTCCTTATAGGGTAATACAGTGGGGGCTGTGAACTCCTTTTTTTTTGTGTTGTCGCACTCGTGTGACTGTTATTTTTTCGTTTTTTGTGTATCCGTAAGAATTTTTCCATAAACTGAGGAGGATAATTATTAACTATTAGCGCTTCTTTTACGTGTTTCAATTCCTTGTTTAGGTCCCTGCTCTGATTAGTCAGTTTTCTAGCTCTATCATTTAGACATCTGACTGATCCTACCTTAACTGACATTGGATGGGATAATTTGAAGTCTAGATAACTGTTGGAATGTGTTGCCTTTCTGTAGACAGTAGTATCCAAGCCACCATCTGTTTTTCGTATTATTCTGCAGTCCAACATAGGTGATTCTCCTTGTTCATTTTCTACCTCGTAAGTGAATTGGATTGCACTTACTACTGAGTTTATATGCATGAGGAAATTGTCAATATTTTCCGAATGTTAATTGTGGTATTTTGATTGATGAGTCCCAAATGGGACGAGACGTGCTTCCTTTATTCTTCTGCTAGCCACAACCAACCAAATTACTATGGTATTGTTACGGATTTCTGTTAGATTGTTACATGATGTTTACAAATGTCTTTAGGACTCATTGTAAAACATATGATGGATAAGTGCATGTTTGGTTATGTGTATGTCTTAAGAGAGAAACATAATGTATTGGATGGAACCTAATTAGTAGTTTAAGTAAGTTGATCAGTAAGTTGTGTATAATTCACCACTTACAATAAGCAGCAACTTACGGTTTTTATTAACTTAGTCGGTTTATTCCTTTTGCTCAGGTCGCCAATCTGTTAAAGTATGTTGTTTAGGAAAAATCAACTTCTTTCACATCAAGCAGTCGTTGATTGTACTGCAGATACTGGTATGATATGGCTCATTGGTCTATACTTTCGGTTTTCAATGAATGTCAGGAGTTCAAACCCCACTCCACCTACCGAGGTCTGGATGGTGAAAAAAGTAATCACTAGGAGGGGGAGGTATATCCGGTTGATGAATCCCAAGTGGAGAAGAAACTCGCATCCTGGGTTCCACTGCTAGCTAATATCCATCATTAATATGAAATAGATTAGCACAAACTGAACATTCGTTCACTCGTCTTGAGTATATCCTCTCTTTGCAATTTTTATGAAACTTCATTTGTGCATCGTACATGTGAAGTACAATTAATACAGCTAACCTTGAAGACATTCTATGCTATGTGGTATGCATCAACATCATGTATAGGTAGTGAGTATAATGACTTCAGGCAACATTAGTTTCTACTTGACCTTTTTTTCGGAATGCAATTGTTACATTCTTGAGTAAGAGTTTAATCCTTACTTGTGTTAGAAATTTGTTTATATACATTTTCTGTTTGTTAAAAAAAACTATGGTTCGACTCAACTGTAGTTTTTGATTTTCTTCAGCTAAATTACGCTTTAGCTGATGATATTCTAACGAATGCTTATTTTTATTACCTTCAATGTAGAAAAAGGTATTTGTTGTCCCTGTACATGATGTTCATCAAATGCATATTATGTGGCCAATCCCTGACTATTTGCCAAATTATAAAGCTCAGGTAGGATCAATATTTATAATTAATCAACTGAATGACTGATACATTTTTATTACCAGATGTAAATATAATATTTCTGTCGATTTGAACTGTGTAAAGAAATGTTTCTTGGTTAAAATTTGAAAGACAACTGAAATCACTAGTTAAAGATGTCGGGTGATACGATACATAGTTTACAGCAATGCCTTAGTTACCATGGGTGTGAAATATATCAACTTGATTTGATGTGGTTCCATTTTTATTGATTTATTAGATTTATCACACAGTGTAACAATATTGTTTACTGGATTACGTTTCGGACAATTTATTCTCCATAGTCATATCAAGACAACTACACAACTTTGAGATATCCTTTATATAGTCCTAATTTTTCTCGTCTCTTTGTGAGGTGGGCAGTAGGATTTTCCATATATCCGGAACGGCTGCTGAGTCATTCCTGTTGCATGTGTTAGGTGTTGATTCGACAAACAAAGATTCAGTTATCAATCTCTCCCTCCACCCTGTTATGTTAGTTTTAAGAATTTCCAGCCTGTCCCATCCTATTGTGTGGTTGTGTGTAATTGCATGCATAGCTATAGCTGAGCTTTTTTCTAAATTCCTTACCTTACTAGGATCTACGAATTTCGACCTAGCTAAGTTTTTGTGTTTCGATAGCCTAATTGATCCTGGTCGACCACTTTGACCTCGCAATCGTTGCAAGGGATTTGGTAAACTAAGTTATTCTGCTTAATTGGATCAATAGGATCTTTTAACCTGCAAAGCTTATTTCGAAGTGAGTTTGTAGGTTTAAATGCCACTCTAATCCCAGCCTTATTGAGAATCCTACGTAGTGTTTCTGAAGTGCCTTCTTTGTATGGTAATACTGTGGAGGTTTTGAATTATCTATTCACAGTATCGCCGACAATATTATTAACATCATTATTATTATTGTTGTTATTATTACTACTATTAATAACTGTGTTACTGATATTTTTCTTACAATTCCTAAGGAGCTTATCAGTTAATTTGGGAGGGTAATTATTGATGATTAAGGCGTCTTTAATGTATCTGGTTTCTTGCTTTAGATCTTCTGTTTTACTAGTAAGTTTTTTGGCCCTGTTACTTAGACACTTTACTAAGCCAACTTTAAGTGACATAGGGTGAGACGATTTGAAGTCTAAGTAACGGTTTGAATGTGAAGGTTTTCTGCAGACACTAGTATCTAAACTCCCATCTTTTTTCTGTTTTATTTGGCAATCCAACGTCGTTTAACGGCCACATCTTAGCCTAACGTAAGGGCGGGACAAACTGCAGTACAGTATGCTCATCCTTTGATAGATAGTTGGATGTCTTGCCAGTCGCCACCGCAGGTGACGCTAGTTGTCGAATGCTGAACGGGCCCTCTGTGTTCGAGCTGAGATTTTGTAAGTAATCAGCTCGTTCGGCGGTCTGATACAACTTCCCAAGTAATTGGTCGACACATTCCACCACTTTACTCCCTATCATTAAATTGAGAGAAGTTGCAGACCATTTCTGGATCATCATTTTACACTTCACAGTGCGAAACGCATTCTAAAGATACCCAGATTTCTGCTCAAAGCATCCAGAAGACCATGCATTTTGTCAGAGTCTTCACACAGCAAGACAATATTTTCTCCATACTCCAAGTCAACCAGATAACCTCTAGGAAATAGATCAATTTTTTCGAAGTTAAACGTACCTAAGATTGTGTCCATTATTATATTTATGACGAAGTTACATAGGAACGGTGAGTGAGCCTCCACTGTGGACGCTACTTGTTGTCGATGATTCGGAAAACAACTCCACGTCAGTCTCTTCACGGCTGCGTGAGCTGGAGTAGAGAGCTTTGATTAGCGTCATATACTTACTCGGTACTCCCTTCACAGTTAAACACTACCACAACACCTCACGGTCGACAGAGTCAAATACTGCCTTCAGGTCAGCAAACATGGCAAGTGTTGACTGCCGGTATGTATATCTATGTTCCAGAACCTGTCGGAGGCTGAAAATAGGGTCGATGAACTCTTGTCCAGGTCTGAAACCTACCTAATTTTCTCCAGTTTGGTGTTTTCGAGCTCATATTAGGCGTGTGATAATTATTGATGCACGGATCATGGATACGATACTGGTAGAACTGATTCTGCTTTGGCTGTCGCAAGAAGATTTCTCTCCGTTCTTATAGACTGGGATAATCAGAGAAGTAGACCAGTTTGACGACACTACCTCTGACTTTCGTATACCACCCAGTACCTCCTCCACGTTAATCAAGATTTTCCTACCTTCATCCTTGATAACTTCAGGTTGGATACATCTTTTTCGACTTTAAGGATAGTTGGAGGACCGACATCTACATACCATTCAGGTTCAGGCTGAATGTTGGGCAAGTTAAATGTTGGTTAGACCCAGTCTAGCTGTGCTTCAAAGTGTTCTGCCCAACGTTCTAGCCATCTGTCCCGCGAGGTTATCAGGTTCTCGTCCTTTTGTGTGAGGGTTTCTCAATCCGTCATCTTTCTGGTATTTTTAATACTCCCAAATAGTTGCCGAGTGTCACCCAACCCTGATGCCTTTCCCATCTCTCGCTTTCGTCACCCACCACTACTTGCGATCGACGCGAAGACTCTTGGTCAACTTACGTCTGAGTGCCGTTTGCTCTTCATCGTGGTCAGAGCCAACTTTAGTCAGTTTTCTTGCATCAACCAGTTTGGGTGACGTTGCGGAAATCCATTGACATTTGTTAACCTCCAGGTGTAGGTTACCAGTTGTCTTTACTGCTGTTTCTACAGCCGACTTGGAATCACACCAGGTTTCCTCAGGATGAACATTGCTGTCATGTTTAGATAAATGCCTGGCTATCTCTTCTTTAAATGCGTTCTTGACGTTTTCATCTTCCAATCTAGCATAGACAGGCTTTACTATCGCCTGTTTCCTGCGACCAGTAAGGCGCAGACATATTCAAGCTTGTACTAGTCCGTGATCGGAGTCCGAACTGGTACTCCAGAAGGAGCGGCAATCCTCCACCGATTCTCACCAGCCATGAATTATAGAAATATTGCGTATCTGTGTCCATTGTTGGTTTGATGTCGGTGGATGCCATGTTAGACAGTGTCTCTCCTTATGCCTAAAGTTAGTGCGACCAGAAGAAAGTGATTGTCGGAACGAAATTCCAATAGACGATCACCGGTGTCGATTCATTAACGTGGGATTTTGTAAATACCCCCAAGATGCCTTTCAGTTTGGCTCATCTCCCCTACTTGTGCATTGAAGTCATGTACCATCATGACTACATCTGAATGTTTTGCTCTCTGTAGAAAACTTGACAGCTTCTCATAGAATTCATCCTTTGCATCATCCGAACTACAGTCCTTGGCTGAAGGGACAGAGATTACTGGTAGGCATCGCCTATTCTGACGATCCTTCCTAGTCCTTACAGATCCATTCAGTCGAACAACACACAGACGGTTGTTAACTGGTATCCAGTCGAAAAGCTCACTTTCTGCTCTACAACTCAATGCTATACCTACACCAGTGGGTTCACGAGAGCTATCCATTAGGTTTCCAGATACTCCTAAGGTGAATTTCGAAAATTCGATACTATGGCCAGCTGACGCTAATTTAATAACCACACTCAGGTTCCGTATACGAGTCTCAGAGACAGAGGATATATCCATGGCTAGAGATTCCAGAGTTTTTGGCGAGGGATACTTGGTGCCCGACTTGGCATAAAGTTTGGACGTTGAAAGCTCCTACATGAAATCGATGGTGTGTTGACAGAAATTCGTTTTCATTTTATTTACTCAATTCAAAATTTTCTAAATTATCCCAGTTGATTTCGTGTTGGTAGTTGTCTGTGTTCATTAATGTAGAAAATAAAGTATCGAACTGTTTAAATGCTGACTCTTTGTTTTTGGGTGAAAAATTAGAAGAGGTGACAATTATATTTGATGCGGTGTATTGCATAATGCGTTAAGTTTGTATTGTAAATGCAGCCGAATTGACCCCCTACCCATCACAATATCTTTCGCTCTTTGTAATGTTAGGTACGATGGCATTGTTTGTCTATCGATAGTATTGGTTCTGAAAAGTTTTTAAAATGTGATCACGATTTCTGAGTTATTCTCTACCAAAGATTGCATACTTTTTGTGTTGTCTAAACTGAAAATCAATTGAAGTGTACATAATATTTATATAGTTATTCATTGTTCCCTTTTCATTTTTTGTTCAATTTATAGGCACCTAGCTATGTGACACATTTACTTGGACATGAGAGTTGTGGCAGTTTACTCAGCTTATTTAAAAAATTAGGTTGGGCTAGTCGATTGACTTGTGGCGTTAGTAGACCAGGAGCAGGGATCTCCTGTCTTATTATATCTATTGACTTAACTTTAAAAGGTCTTGGTGAGTTGTTAATTATTTATTCAGAATTCTTCTTTAATTCTTTATACACACCTACTGTATTATTTCTTTTGATTAATGCTTAAATTGTATACAATACACTTTTATTGATCTATTCTTTGTTTTGTTATAGAAAATACTGATGAGATTGTTACAAACATATATCAGTACGTCAATATGTTACGTGCTGATGAACCACAAAAGTGGATATTTGACGAAGAACAGGTATGATTTTTATCCGTACCCTTTTATATCTTAAATTCGTAACTGTCTGACATCCGAATGTCTCTCCAATTACTTAGTTATGACTAATTACACCAACTTTCATGTTTTTTCAAGAGCCAACAGTCGAAAAAAGTTCGGTTAGATAACACTCAGATGAAAGGTAATAGCTGTCTTGTGGTAGATGTAGGGTCTAGTTGGTGAACGAATTCTTAAGTAATAAAGTGTTTTTCTGCGTATTCATATTGAATCAATAATTCCTCACCTTTTACTGGGGAGATTTACTTTTATCTACAACCATTTTCGTATTCACCTTGGCGACTAGTACAGGAATCCAGGACGTGCGTTTCGTCCCATTTGGGACTCGTCATCATGGTGTACCTGCAACGGGAAATTACAAGTATCAAAACAACAACTGATATCCATTTCACAAGAGGTGGCTATCATATCCCAGTGGCCTAGTAGGTAATGCTTTGGCGTTTGAAGCTATGGGTACTGGGTTCAAGTCCCAATGAGAACGCCGTCACTCACTGGCGTCCAAGTACATCCAGCTGATGATTCGTGAATTGAAGGAGATGCGCATCCTGGATTCTGCTGCTAGTCACCGAGTAAACTAGATCATAATGAACATTCAGGCAGTATCGAAGCATCCACATATCCACATATATGAACCCATCTGCAAAAAGAGGTCGAACAATTCAATCCTGTATTACAGCGGGAGATTACAAGTATCAATCAATAACAAGAAGTAGGAAGAATCAGATGTCAAGTAAACCGAAAGTTTTATCCTTTTGACGATTAGGAAAAAAAATAATAGTAAATTCCTTACGGTAAATACATGTCTTCAGTGAAAAGGATATCAGGCTGTTAACCTATCATAAGATTTTTTGAGCGAATGACTATCTACTTACTCTGTTATTTTGCATTTTAGGCTTTATGTAAATTAAATTTTCGCTTTAAAGACAAAGAACCACCGTATGATTATGTAATGGAGCTAGCTGGCAATCTATTGGTAAGTAAGTCGAAATACTGTTTAATGCACCGCAATCATATACAAAGAATACTCTGTTCATCAATGTTCACACAAAATATTGGATACTGCGTATAATTTCATTTAGTATATTAATTTCATTTCTTTCTTCGCGTTTTTTTTGGAGTTCATTTTTATTGTTATGGTGGAAACTGTACTCAAGCAGCTGTTTTTTTCATGTAACTGAAATTGTCTTTTAGTAGCTATGCCTTTAATTTGTGCCATATTTGGTTAACGCATTTCAAAAGGTGGATTTGTCACTTAACACTTAATATTACTAATTTATCCTGGACATTTGCATTAATAGTAATATTATTATCAACAGCTTTCCCAATGAGTTTGAAAAACTTAGGCCACATATAATGAACGAGCAAGTAATCTTTATTGGTCAATAAAATGGCAGATCATTTGACTAATAGAGTATTCAGAATGAATTACGTACGCTCACTGTGTTCACAGTCTCTTCCTAACACAGACTTATTTGATATTGATTCAGATACTAAGTCTAAGTGTGCTGACATGTTCTCACAAAGTTTTAATTCTGTTCTGATACTGTTTTCATTGTCCCTGAAGTGTGACTAAGTTTGCAAGGTTACTCTTTCTTTATCTGTAGCAGCTATTCTTCAACTCCACTGTTCTGGAATCATTCACCTGTATTCCCTGTACACTATCCGTTTAGTGGTGATTGAGACATTTCCTCACCTAAATACTGTCGCATCTTCTGTTTCATTTCATTCAGTGGCACGATCCCATGGTTTTGAATTGAATAAATTCTTCACAAATTAGTAGAATAAGTCAGTCCCTTTTTTCGATTGAAAAAGCCTTTGACAGCGTCGACCGACAAGTAGTTTGGCAGCTGCTTCAACACTACGGAATGCCACAAACCCTTATCATCCTCATTCAACAACTATATGAAGATGCCACATACCAAGTAATTCACAATGGAAAGCTCAGTGATGCTTTTGAAGTGAAGACAGGAGTGAAACAAGGCTGTCTACTATCACCTATGATATTCCTGATTGTGGTCGACTGGATTGGATTATGCAACAAACAGTGAGGAACAAGAAGAAGGGAACATACTGGGCCGGGCAAAAGATTCTAGAAGATTTGGATTTCGCCGATGATTTGTGTCTGATGTCCCACAAAGTTGGAGATATACAGGCGAAAACTAACAAGTTCACAGAAGAGGCAGGGCAACGGAGACGGAAGACGGAGACTTAATAATTACGATTGAGAGATATAAGTACTGTCAACGGAAGTCATGAACAGACCATGTGTTACATTACGGACTAACGTTAGGTGTAGCTTTAAAACCAGTAGTTAGCATGCAGTTAAAATAGTGATTATGCTATATTCCGTCTGTATCTGGTTGAAAAGAAAGTTGTTTGATCGTTTCCTGAACTTGAGTTTGTCAAACAGACAGACTAAATACTGTAACTATTTATTATTCAGCTACTCATCTTAAGGATTTTAAAAAAATTAGTCAGTCTTCTGATACTTTTGCCTTGATATTTTCTGAAATGTAACTTGACTATCAAATTACGCAAACTTTCTTTTTACTAGTGTAATTGCTTGCATTGCTGTATAGCTGTAATGTTGTTGCTTGTATTATCCTGTCGTTGATTGGACCGAATTGATCGGTCTCTTGACATATGGTGTCCTTCGCGGATGCCCCGATATTGCTTGTGTTTTTAATAATATCGTAATGGTGGATAGTGGCTAGCAGTGGAATCCAGGATGCTCATTTCGTCCCACTTGGGACTCGTCAGCTGGATGTACCTGCCTCCCAGTGAGTAATGTTGTTCCCACCGGGATTTGAACTAGGGACCGATCGCTTCAAACGTCTGAGCGTTATCTACTAAACAACCGAGATACGATAGCCACTTCTTGTGTGATGGTATAATACAAGCAATGACAGTAAAACTATACCCGTCACACAAGAAGTGGCTATCCTGGTTCGGTTGTTTAGAAGATAATACCTTGGCGTTTGAACCGCTCGGTCCCTAGTCGAATCCCGGTGAGAACAACACTCACTGGGAGGCAGGTACATCCAGCTGATGAGTCCCCAGTAGGACGAAATGAGCATCCTGGGTTCCACTGTATCCATCATTTCTTTTTATTAGTTTGTTAAGTATTATTTCAGACTGCTTTTAATAATTGTTGATTAGGATTGAAAACATCTATCAAAGTCATGCTCAAAGCATCTAAAGGTTCGAATAAATTCTTGCTTAGAAGCTTTTTTTCTCAATATTGACGTCAAATGTGCTTCACAATTATCAAGACTAAACGATTGTCTGGGTATAAATGCATAGATACCAGAAACAGAGGGTATTATTATTATTATTATTATTATTATTATTATTATTATTATTATTATTATTATTATTATTATATTAGTCCCTTGGATTCCTAATGGAACATAAGGCTTCAGTAGCACGTCTCCACTGAACTCTGTTCTCTGAAATCTTTTGAACTTGGCTCCACGACAGCCCAGAAGCTCTCATTTCCTCTTTGCACGATCTCCTCTATGTCACTCTCGGATGTCCAACTCGCCGTTTCCTATCTGGGTTCCACTCGATGACCTGGCCTGACGCGTGATGTCCCCAGTCGGCCTTCTCAGTGTATGCCAAATCTAGTCCATCTCTACTTCCTTCTGCATATTTGTTCCGCGATAGGTTCTTGGTTGGTTCGTTGCCAGCCAGAGTTCATTGTTGCTTATTCTTTCTGGCCATCTAAGCTTCAGTAACGAGGCAGCGTAGGCAGTTGTTGGTGAATATCTGTAGTTTATTGGAAATCCCTTTCGTAACGCGCCAAGTCTCTCAACCATACAGGAGCACTGACTTGACGTTGGTGTTGAAAATCCGAATGTTGTTCACGCCTTATGCTGATTGGAGTGCAGAAGATCTCCACACTGGTTTCAGGCTAATGAACGCTTGTCTTGCTGTCTTTCCGATCCTGGTTTTGACATCTTCGTCTGTGCCTGTGCCACCTATAGTTGAAACGATGCTGTCTACGTAGGTGAAAGAGACTACTTCCTTTAAGTTCCTCCCGTTGATGATGATTGGAGTTTTGTTGTTGTTGGAGTTGTTGGTTGGGTATCTTCATCACCTCTGTCTTCTCTATATTCACTTGAAGCCCCGTCTTCGTTGCCTTGCCTCTTCTGTCAACTTGTTAGTTTTCGCCTGTAGATCTTCAAATAATACGCGTACTTGTTATCTAGATTAGTACAAGATGTTAGACTGGTTTTTATGTCGATAGTTACGAAATGACCAAGACTGGTTTTGTTTTTAGGTCATACCTGATATTTTATTAAGCCATCAAATAGTACTGGTAATTTTGGATAGCTTTTTCAAAGTTGTAAGAAAGAAGGCGTGGTAAAGCCAGTTGTTAGTGAGGCTAAAGTGGAGGAAAGTGTATCTGCAATTCTCTCAATGGAGATAATTGGGACAGTGGACAAAATACGGATGAACAGTTCAACTGGTCTGAATGCTCCACTGCTCTACTACCTATAGTTTCTGCGCTAGTCAAAAAGTCTGCAGGCAACCAGAAACCAAAAGAGGTAGCAGATTGTAATAAATAAAGGTTCAGGTTTACTGATCAGACTGATTGAAGTGTAAGCCCTTATATGATAATCATTAACTATTCTTTCTGATTGGTCTCAATCGTTGATTACTCCAGTCTTCAAGATAGAATAGAAATCCACTGAAGATATCCTCAAAGGAACCAGTCTGGTGAAGTAGCGTGCAGCACTTAAGGTTCTGTAATCATCAGATGCTAAAGTGAACCCAGTGAGCAACAAAACTGAGAAAAACAGACGGGTTTCGAACACATACTTAGGTGTATCAACTAGATCTTCGAACAAATGTACACTTACGAGTGTCCGATATGGCTGTAATTCTTGGCCTTAAGGTGACACGTTATTCTGTCAGTTAACATTTACTATGGCACTATTATTTTATTTAAAGGGTATTCAGTAATCATATCGTACTACTGAAAGCCTTATACTTAAAAACTTGGAGTTATGCTAGAGCCTGCGAGGGGTATCGAGAGAGGTGTTTTTGTGGATTAGTGTATAGTTGGGGTTTTTGTTCTCTAATGCTTTGCGTCTGTCATCCATGTGCTTATAGATGTTTTACTCTGCTTTTAGGTTTGCAGAGACTGGTCTCAGCAGGAAAGTTTAATAAATTTAGAGTCCGGAGACATTGTCTGTGGAGACTTTAACAAGACTCAGTTTTCTGTACGCATAGTGTGACCATTTAAAAAAATTTCTGCGTTTCTCACCTCCCTAGTATGCCCTGTTACTGCAGGACTGGTTTGCTTTTATGTCTCATTTGACAATTGGAAGTGAAGTGGTTCAGCGCATTAATCACTTTTTTGGCAAGCTGCGCCAGCCCCGGTTATTTAGCCAACAATGAAATCTTGAAAATGATACAAAAGACTATTGGTCTTCTCCAAACAACGCCATTCTAGGCACTGGTGGGATATCTAATTACCTACTGACGGTTGGAGCACTAGGTAGCAGCTCATTCTGTTCCTTGACTGTGAAACATTGCCAGTAGCCAGAGTTACAAGAAGGCCCCAGTTGTTGCACCACCATTGCATTTTTGACTTCAGTCACACGTCCTGAAACCTGTACATGAGAAATACAAACGTCATGCAACGAGTCGTTTGTAAAAGAGACGAGTCAGTTGATGGAGTTTTAGACCTTCGTCAATTGAAGTGACTGACGCATGTATTGTGCATGCCTAATCACCGTATACCGCGACGCTCCATGTTAGTTGACTTGGGTGTGTGTTATAAAATAGCGAAGGATGATCCGACTAAAACATGGCACCAGTCCGCGAATTGTTTGATTGTTGATGTGTGCCGTTTGCGGGTATGCAAACTTCCAGGTAGAAGTGGAGATTTCTCTAAACAGCTGAAACTGATGGTTGAAAATTCTAGGTGATGTGATGTTTATACATCCACTCCTGATCTTTGTCTTAGCTGTAATCAGTAGTGTCAATATTTGCTTTGACTTCCATTTTTTGTCTTATTGCTTCCTACGACTTTTACTATATTATTTTTATTTCTTTGTATTCTATCTTGTTGCTTTGTATCTTGATGTGGTTGCGTGACGTGCGTTAACTTGGATCGCTGCACAATATCTGGTATTGTATTAGTCTTCAGGTGCGCCTTTTGCCCGTTTCGTACTATGACCAGAATTCTGTAGACTCAACAGGGGATCCATGTTGACAAAAGTAAACAGGTGTGGCGTAATGAGGAAACTACTTACCTCAGTGTTGTTTGAAAACGATAGAGGTAGTATTTGCTGACTGTTTTTATTAATTTTGTGTTTTGTACTTGAATGATGTTTTAAAATTGTTAGTAGCATCCAGTTCTGTCCCTCATCCTTGATCTTCGTTGGATTAATTTGTAGGAAAAATCCTTATTTTTGTTTATTTCTTATAATATTTTAGCGCTATGAGTTGCAAGATGTTCTCTCTGGTCCTTACTTGGCGAGCGATTACAATCCTGAGCTAATAAAAGAGCTCATAAATTGTTTAACCCCAGACAATTGTAGGTGGGTTCCATCTGTTCATTGTTTGCTGGGTTTTTTTTCATCATTCCATTTTGTAAATTAGTACATTATTTAGTCTTCACTTTATGTGGATTCGTTCTTTCTTTTCGCTTTGTTATATTATGAAGAACAGGATTTTGAGTTTACTGTGATTTCTTTGTATTTAGTGGTATAATCTTCACTTAACATGGTTTCCTAATCCTATCAGAATTAATTTGACTATGGAATGTTGTGTCCTGCCTAGTAACTTTGATTTACAATAACTAGATTACAGTAGACAGTAAGCAGTTGTTGTTGCTTCTACACCAGTTTTCTCGGAATCGTAAAGGCAGTTAGTGTACTATTTTCTGTTTGGTCGCCTATTGGTTTTCAGGCTGTTTCTCTCAAGCGATCTAAGAGTCAGTGTCGTTTTCAAAAGAGAACGGTATCGCGTAAATGGATCAGGCCCAATACTTCCATGCGTAGTTGTCGAAGTTTCTATGATGTAGTTTCGGTTGCTGTTTCAATCACATTCGCTTTATCCTTATCACTATGGAAAACTGGTATTTCAGTTGTACTTATGACGGCAATTACGCTTAATTGATGGAATACTACCATATTGCCTAATAAACCAGAGCATATCAATCCCTGTCTAGTTCCTGCCAAATATATTTAAGTTTAAGATGAAATTAATTTAGAAGTAGTATTCATCATGGACTGACATCAGTTGGGGAACCATTGAAAATCTGGGAACACTGGACAGCTGTTTCATCCTTGTATGGGACTCCTCAGCAGTACGCACCCACGACCCGGCTAGGGGTGGAACTCATGACCTTCAGGTTTCACGACGAAAGCGTTAACCATCCAGCCAGTGGGTCGGTTTCTAGTGGTTCATAATTTCCAACTTCTGCCAATTCACGACATAGCGCGACTGTCACCCATGGTCTTCAGCTAGCATCCACTTCACTTCCGACTGGTTGACCCCACAGGTCACGGCTTCTCATTTGAACTTCCTAACATCCATCTGGAAGCAAGTCACTAATGAGCGCTATAGAGAAATGCATTTTTGAGATGAATGGGGATTTTTAATTTAGAAGTAGTATTCATCATAGTCCTGAGTTCGACCCCTAGCCGGGTCGTGGGTGCGTACTGCTGAGGAGTCCCATACAAGGATGAAACAGCTGTCCAGTGCTCCCAGATTTTCAATGGTTCCCCAACTGATGTCAGTCCATGATGAATACTACTTCTAAATTAAAAATCCCCATTCATCTCAAAAAAAAAAAATTAATTATTATGCGTTTCATTATGTTGCAGAAATAGTGATCACAAGCAAGTGTACTTTAAGTAGTTCGTTGTGGCAAAAATGAGAGAAACCTTTGGAAAGTAAATTTTCACTACCTAATTGAAATATTAATCATCATATACTCTCTGATCTGACCGTATAAATTATAGAATGATGATACCTTCAGGCATTCACGGAACACCGGGTATTTTAAGCTTTCTTTCGGGTTCTACGCTTACCAGAAGTATCGAAAAACTTCTCTTTAGAAGATTCCTTTTAACCGACTTATTAGTGAAAATATCACTCAGCAACACTTACACATACAAGATTGTAAGCTAAATCTTTTATTTGAGGGCCAGTGATATTGTCTACTTGCCCGAACTCGTAGGTGGAGCCAGGTTTCCATAAATCCAGTCGCTACTCCCACTAGTGCCTTCAACTAACGACGCATTATAAGGTTCAACAATTTTACGGAACTGTGTGCGCTAGGCTGTACATACACAGAACAGATATATTTTTTAACAGAAGTACATTTCTTTTCAACGGTAACATTATCAAGCTGCATAACTGTACTTATATGTAGTAAAAGTTTGTTTAATGCCACTAAAAATTCAGTAGTCAATAAATAGGTGTTAGATGCAAAAACAAGTAGGGTTTTTGTAGAGAGAAATGTTTGTTTAGAAAAGTAAAGTGTTATTGTTAGGAGCTGTGAATGAACGATTATAATTACACTAAATTTATCAATTTTAATGAAATGAGTTTTTTCTAAAGAGTGTTACTAGGTAAAGGTAAAAAAAGTGCTTTAACAAACCGTTTTGTTTGAGCTATGCATAGGTGGTGAACACTTGAACTCACGTAGTATTTTTTCAATACTGTAAATTACTCTAAAGCATGAATCATAAGCGACGAAATAGCCTGATAAATAAATAAATATTTCGTTTTATTCCTCAGCATTTCAACCTTACTATCATGACCTTTCTCAAGAATATGAATCTGGTATTAGGCTTTCACATCAATAAATATTCAACTTTGGTATATATTCTGGGAAACTACAACAAAACTAACCATAAGAAATAGAAAGGATTGTGAGACCAGCCTGTACTTATTCATAATCTCTTACGTGCCCACCGAATGTAGTTTATAAGGGATAAATTTAATCAAAAGTTATCAATTTCACTATATAAAGCAAAACGTTCAGATATAGCCGTGATAGAAGGCTACTTAAACTCTCAAGTATGAAAGCTGAGCCATTGTGTGTATCTAAAACATCTCATGCCAACCAGCCGACAATAGTAATCACCCTTTGTAATTTTGTTTTGACAGTCACTTGTTTCTGGTCAGCACTAAATTGAAGCGTAAGGAGACATTGTCCCTCATTGCGTCTGATGACATCAAACCAATGATGGGCATATTGCTATAAGCCATCATGAATCATCTCAAGTTACAACACATCATAGTAGCATACGAAGAACAAATGAAGTGAAAAAGATTGATATCGAAAAACACAAGCGTGTATTGGAGGGGAAACAATTTAAAAATGAAGGCTGGTGAAAGTATTCAAGATTTATAAGACGCTAGAGATAATACATCTGCACCACTGTAACCAATTTTAAGCCATGTCACCAACAGACTATATAAATTGATTCTTATGGTTTTGTGGACCCCAACCAGAAAGTCTGTACCTCATTATACAAATCAGACTAGCAGTCAGAAAATTCATCGACTGGTGTCATGTCTCAGTCTATGAAGTCTCTAACTCTTCGGTCCTCCAAGTCACAGAAATTAATAGTTGCGGTCTCTTGGTTGTATAGCTCAAATCTGTTTACAATGGCACAAATGTATTAACTCTTTACCGTCTTTTAAATGTTAAATATTTTCGCTAGCCTTCATTTTTGAATCTCTTTCTTCTCTCGTTGGTGGGAAATAACACTCGTTTGGTAGTAATTAATCTTCAGAAAATATACAGATTTCAGTATTTTTCTCTTCTTCTACAATTTTTTCCCATTTTTTCAGAGTCTTTGTAGTTAGTAAGACATTTTCAGAAAAGTGTGTGGACGAAGAACCTTGGTATTCAACTAAGTACCTTTGTACCGATATACCAGAAGCAACTTTGGAGGTAAGAATCTTTGAAAGGAAGTTATTATCGAGAATACTGCCATCATAGAATCTCTTTATTGTTCATGTTAATATTTATAGTAAGTTCAGATATATTTTTAGGTCAATCTCATGCTTTTTCATCAATGTAGGTCATGTGGATGTTTCAGTTATTTTGAAATTATCTTTCTAGTCGAGTCAGAGTTCTCCTACACAGCAGAAAGAACACATTACATCTACATCATCATCATATACTAAGCAGTAGAATAATATAGGCTCGATTGAATGTAGGAAACGTGAAAATTTGACTAAAACCAAGAGAGGGTAGAATATATTTCTGTTAAATGTTCAAACCACTGGATGGCCAATCACTTTTATTATCCTAATTGTTTGTTAACTACAAATAAGCATGGAACTGTAACAGAATACCCATGTGTAGTGTTTTAGACCATAGGAAAATATAATATCAACGTAAGTTAGCTAAATGACTACAACATGTGTGATCTATGTTACTTTTGAACATCACTTTGACTGTGCCAACCTAATAAATCTGCCAATCACCATCAGTATTTCATAATTAGTTTGTTCTTGTTTTCACCTTCCCTTATCTTGCTTCATAGCCATAGAGCTTAAATTCATAATACTTAGATTCTGTAAACCGTATAGGTAATTAGTAGACAGATATCTCTGGTGCTGTATATGACAAAACTGATCGAATATCATTCCGTCATAATGTTGATATAATGCGATTCATTATTATGACTAATTCACTTTGTCTACTTTTGTTTGTTGGTGAATAATAAACTTACTAGTACGTTGTCCACTTGTCCATCTATTCTCAAGCTCTTTTTGCTCTTCAATTTTCTGCGGATTTCACAAACTTGTGAAGTTAGGTGCATCAGTTCTATGAGTGAGTGTGTATATGGATAAAGTAGTCGCTTGACTTTTTGATTAACTACATCTTAAGAAGGGAACTTGATACAATTTTTGTTAATCTTTGGTTGGCTTTCATCAAAAAAAGCTGTCTCCACGTTGTGTTCATGTTGGCGACTAGGAGTGGAATCCAGGATGCTCACTTCCTCTTATTTGCAACTCGTCAGCAAGTGATGTCGTTCCACCGAGACTCAAGCCCAGTGCCCATCGCCTCAAACGCCATAGCATTATCCACCAGACCACGGGGGCATGGTAGCCATCTTTTATGCGACAGGTATCAGTTGTTATTTTATGCTTTGAATTCTTCGTTTCTAAACAGGGTCGAATTGTCCGATCTCTGTGGGCTGCTATGCGGATACCTCGGTACTGCTGGATATTCATGATGTTGTATTCATGTCGGTGACTAAGAGTAGAGTCCAGGACGCTTGTTTCGTCCCATTATCGACTCGTCAATCAGATGTGCGAAACTTGCCTTCTGCATTCCACTGCTAGTCACTAAGATGAATATGGCATCATGAACATCCGGCAGTAGTGAAGCATCCGCGTAGGAACCCATATACCAACAGAGGTCGATCAATTTGATCTCGTATAACAACGGTGAATTACAAATATTAAACAACAACTGATACCTATCTTTCATGGGTAAATGCATTCTCTTCAAACAACGTACTACAACAATATTTTCAACTTTTGAAATCTCTTCCACCCAACATTTCTCTCGGTCTTAATCCTATGCTAAAAGTTAAACACTACAAATCTCCACAAATAGCCGATATTTTTTACTTGTGATGAAAGTATTCCTTGTGAGGGCGTTGTAAACACTAAATAGTTGTAACTCTGATAGCATTAGTAGCGAAATCACCATTAACGCCTTATAGATGAAGTTGGTTATACTGGTGTTTCCACTCCTGTTCAGTTTGATACATGAATACCTCTTCTTCCCTAAAATGGTTTTGAAATTGAAATCGAGTCACCTTTGTATAACATTCTTTTGATCAGTTTAGGATGAGTATTTACATATTCCACTTCTTCAAGTGTCTAATTATGATAGGTAATCTATAGCCACTAAAAAGTCTTTCAGAGATCAGTACATTCCATGAAACACTTGGAAAACCTTTAGATGATTGATTTTGTGGGATCAGTGGTTTCCTTTAAGTGAAATCTTTAAGTTCCATCTTGATTTGTAATTGAACTCTGTTGTACTCTGTCTTCGTGATGTTCTTTATATAATCGGTTGGGTTTTTATGTATCTTGATTGACACTGCATGAGTCTTAATCTTTTTCAAATTTGCTAATAGTAAATATCACTCTTCGCGTGGAGCTATGGTCTACTGGCTTTGGTAGATAACTTTCAGTTCGAGCCACACCACACCTACCAAGGTTTGGGCAGCCAGGTAGTATCATTAGCCCACAAGCAATAGGTGTGGCTCATAACTTACTACACGAATGTGCAATAAGGTTTCTGGTCTTATTTATTTTACCGTCCTTCATCGAATTCTGCAATTATGTTGTTTCTTTACATTTTCTCTTCAAGTAAACTAGAGGCATATCATATATAGGCCGAATACCTAACCATCCTCTATGTGCTGTGTTGTTTGCATCTATGAAACACCTTTTTCTTAACTTTTGCACTTGTGTTGTTCCAAAACGCTGGTTTACACTTTTATTAGAAAGTGAAGTCATATGAAGTTTTGGTTTTTGTATGTTTTAGTTACCTTTGTTACACTATCTTATATTTTTGTAAATTGTTTTTCTTTCTGGGTACATGTTTGCAGCTATGGCGAAGTAATTCTATGAATCCTGAGCTAGCGTTCCCAGAGCCGAATCCATTCATTGCTACAGATTTTGACTTAGTGCTTAAACGTGCACCACCGTATCTTGAAATCCCAGAATTATTAATAGAAACAGAAATAACTCGTCTTTGGTATTTTCCAGATAATGAATTCAATCTTCCCAAAGGTTTTATTACATTTCATATTATCAGGTAAGTTTTATCGCAATTATGTTTTGAAGAGCAGTGTTTCTTTCGTTAGATAATTCATATATTTCACTTTTTAATATTCTCACTTTATAGACAACCAATTCTCCGCATGTATAACCATACTAACTGATATCATGTCTTATCGTGTGGATTTTATCTTTATTCAGCTCATCGTGTTGTTTACGAAGTTGTCGTTGAGAGAAGTGGTGTTCTCACATAGCACGTAAATTAAAGTTAGTTCACTCCTGCTTTATAGGAAGTCATATACACTGACAATTGATAAAATTTAACACTAATGTAGATTTCATGCACCAGAAGGGAGTGTATTGTCTTCAGTTTCAATGTATATGATTTTCGGTAAGTTATATGGCAGAGTAGGTATATGATCAATCTGAATATGATGTGCAATTTGTACACTTCACGTTGATGTTTCTCAAAGCTGTTTAGTTTTTCAACTCTCCAACCATAGCTTTTATCGAACACAGGTTTTTCCGTAACATTGCTTACGTATGGTAGAATTATTTTATGATTAACTTTGAGGTTAAGCTAAGGACTCTGGGCAAGTCAGTTGATGAGGTTGTGAACCTGCATCGATTGAGTTGGCTTGGATATGTGATGTGCACGCCAACCCACCTCCTACCTCGACATGCAATGTTACACGAAGTAGGATTGAGTTGGGAGAAGACTAAGGACGGCCAGACCAAGACGTAGCACCAGTCGATTAAATCTGTGAATATTAGTCTTTAACGTGAAAGGAGGTTGAGACTACCTCGAGTTGATAAGACTTAATGGTTGATGACATGGCTGGAAATCAGTCACAATTGTGCAGATTCACTCCTTGATATTATCTATAGCTTGAACATTTTTGCTATCCTTCATTTATCTTCTTCTTTCTTCACTCAAGCATCATTGTCTACTTTAATATCACTTCTCTATCCACTTGTTCTTTGCATGCACCTGTAAAGTGTGGCAATTCGAACCAATGAACTTGTGTGCGAAGTTCAACATTGATTTTGTCTGTCTGTTCATCTAGTGTCAATTAAGTCATATGGTAAAGCTGAGTTTAAAGGAAGTACTGTACTTATGACCAATGCGAAATAATGCAAATAAGCTTATATTTTCTTACGTGATTTTTAGATCGGGTTATCTTTCGTTCAATTAGTAGTTTTATTGCATCATAATAATAAAGAATAATAAAGTGATTGTTCCATCAAGATAAATATGTCAACGTTGATCTGCAGTTTCTACATTGTGCTTATATAACTATCAATTTCGAGTGAATGTATCGAATGTTACGACATGAGTGATAAGTTGTTGCGTGTTTTTCGAAGACGTAACATTTTCGCATTTTTCTTTTTATACGTATTTGTGTAGAATGTATGATGTATACCACACTGTGCTGGACTTAACAATTGTATTGTGTAAGCCGATTGTCTGTTAGAATCATACTAGAATTACTAAAATAAGCTGAGAAACTGTCGATCAATTTTTTACCGGATCGATAAGAAGGTTAGAGGGATCCAGCTTTGTCTGATGTGTAGTTTTACCTTATTGAAGCAGTTATCTTTTGTATTTCTTTACTACGAATTTATTAATAGGATATTAGCCCTCACTAGTCGATTAATGAAATATAAGAGACAATGGAAACTCGTATAGCATTTGACAACTGTTTCGTTTACTTTTGCTAAATACCATCACATTTCGTAAAACATTTGACTTCTAAGTTTTGATGAATAATGTTTTGGCCAGATAACATTTGATTTAATTTATCGATTGCATTTCCAGGAATGAGACAATTAGATAGATAGTAAAATTGTCATTATTTCTTAAAGTGTTTTCTTTCGCTTCTATTTGTAGTCCGTTGACATTCATGGATCCTCTGCATACATTGCTTTCTGCATTGTATGTGAACCTGTTTGAGGATCATATCAGTGAAATCACCTACTCGTGTATGCTAGCTGGTATGTCAGTCGATATGAAACGTACCAATCAGGGCATCAAGGTATGCATGAAACTTCAACCTACATTTATAATCTTACAAGTTTGTTTTACTTTCAATATTTAAGGCTAATTTTCGCACCAATAAATTTGAATTCAGGATTTTCATCACAGTAAAAATAATTTTATAATCAATTTTTTTTTACTACATCTAGTTAAAATCATCATCTAATCTTGTCACATCATTAAACTCTTGTCTTACATAATCTACGTAGAACCTCGCACACAAGTGTATCGGTTTAAGTTGTCACACTTCACAATAGTATACACAGACAGGTGGATAGAAAATGAGTAATATCAAAGTAGACGAAGTTGTATGAGTGAATGAACAATTTGATGATAAAGGTAAGTGCGAATATTCAAACTGTACAAGACGTTAAGGAGTGAATACAACTGCACCATTACGATAGATTTTCAGTCATGTTGCTGAAGGTCCTAAGCCACTGATTTCTGTCGTCGTCGTCGTCGGAACCCCAGCCAGGTAGCATACATCTCTTAACACGACTCAGACTTCTTCGACCAGTACGACGTCTTGATCTGGCCACCCTAAACCCTCTTACAACCTAATCCAACTTCCCCTGGCATTGTGCATTGAGGTATGCTGTGACTCATGATATCCAAAACATTTCCAAGGCACCTTAATTAATGTGGGGTTACAACCTCATCAATCAACTTGCCTCTCCTCCCTAGTACCTTTCCGCCCGACCTCAATATTGCTAACTCGGTAATTCCACAAAACGCGAGGAATGTTACGAAGACACCTATGATCGAAACCATGTAACCGCTTAATGTTTTCTACTTTTAATGGCCATGTCTCAGCCGTACCAAAGGACCGTATGAACTGCATTACAGTGTACTCGTCCTTGCCAGTCGGCGCCGGAGATGATCCAAGTTGGCTAATACCAAACTAGCCTTCTGTGTCCGAGCTGAGGTTTCGTCAGTAACCAGCCCGTTCTGGCTGATGCAATTCCTAAAGTAGGCGAATTGGTTGACACATCCTACCGCTTTATTCTTTATCATTGAATAAAAGTCAGTTGGTTGTTGTATGTATTCATACTGCCACTAGTATTTGACCGTGCATACATTTAATAAGAAAGTGATAAACAGCATTAATCAAGTAGAACTTGGAACCAACACAGGTAACTCAGCCGATCAAAAACATTCACAGTTTTCAGCTGTAAAAAGATAAAAATGCTTAAAACGTGATGTCAATGCTTTTATTGTTTATTCTGTTTTTAAAAAATATTGTATAAAAGTTAAAGATTATTGTAGTTATTGAAAATGAACGGACAAATTCATTTCTTATTACCCATATTTATAGTATGTGCTGTGACAATTCGAACCACTAAGAGGTTTTTCTAAGGTGACGTGGTTGTTGATTGCTCCTTGAGGTCGAATTCACCTACACACAGGGTTCACAGCGTTAATCTAAGTTTAATTCTCAGTGCAACTTAAGAGAATGGTGCAGCTGGTAGATTGTTCATGACTATTCGTTCAGAGGATTTATGAATACTCTAAGAATGATATCCAAACTGATGCCGAAAGCAGTGATTTTGAAAACAGTAGCTCAAGGAACAATCAAACTACTGGAACATAAGATACTGCATTGAAGACGGATTATGGTTAGGATTCAGGATACAGATCGACCTATGATGTCGGACTGCATCCTCAGTTTCGATGTAGAATCGTTTTGATCCACAATATATTTCTGTGATAGATAATTCTGAGTAGATTGTCCAAAGCCATTTTTAGATATTTAAAGTAAATCTACCTACTTTATCTCTCTTATTGATACTGATTTATGTAGTTATGTTGCTTAAGCGTATGAATACTATCTTGCATTTGTGCGTTTGAAAGACTTTGTTCTACGTATTTCCTTTTCATTATTTTCTAATTATTATAACCGTAGGTTTTGCATTGTTCAACACTGTTATGCGCCTGTGATTTTGTTTTACATTGACGGTGTTTAGTTTTCTCTGTTTAAATCAATGTAAAACTAAAAGAATGAACCTTTTGGGGGAAAGATGTTTCTTCTCTGAATCTCCTGTTTCTATACCCAATAGAGTGTTTTTGTGGTTTCTTTTAGAAGACGTATTGAATCCAAAGATTACTTCTTTGATTCCTAAGTCACTGTACAAAATTCCCGTCTAATTTTATCCACTCATCTGATATATCACTTGCAACAACAGGTCGATAAAACAAAACAGTAGTAATAACAGAATTACTTAATCTTTTACCATCATCATGTTAATCTGATTTATACTTTTACTAGAAATTTTAGTCTGTTTATTGTTTTGTTTTTCTAATCCTATTGCTATGCAAAAATTAGTGCTAATTAATAACAAGAAGGATTGCGTTTTTGTTGAGTATTTTAACCATAGCATATATATATCTTATTCCTGAAGAATATAATTTTCTGATTTTTTTGATGTTACATTTTAAATGGTCTCTTTTGTAACTAAGACTTTATCAAGACATACTAGTAGTAATCGTTATAAAAAAAAACTCATATCTTGTTCATTGTGTAAATTCATTCTGCATTTTAATGCATGACTTCTATCAATGACTCTTTCATTGAATAGGACATTGGTAGCTGAATTAACATAAAGGTAGTATTCATCACGGACTGACATCAGTTGTAGAACCACTGAGAACAAGTGTCTCGTCCTAATATGAGGCTTCTCAGCAGTACGCGCCCAGGACCCGGTTAGGAATCGAACTCAGGACCTTTAGGTCTCACGGCGAACGCGTTAATCATTCAGCCACTGGGTTGGAGTTCAGTGGTTCACAGTTTCCAGCGTCTGTCAATTCACGACATAGCATGAATATCACCCAGTCTTCAGTTGGCATCCGCTTCCCTTCTGACACTTGTAAAAACCAAAAGATCTAGCATTGCTGCGTAACTGTTTAACTTGCTTCACTAAACTTCAGCATGTCAAGATAAATGTTCACATGGGAAAAAACGAAGAAATGAAGACGACGATATCAGTAGTCGGAAAAAGCCCTATGAGAATAAAGGTAGAAAATATAAAGGGAATGACAATATCTTGCATCATGAACTGTATAAAAATAAGACATGAATAGATCTACTCTACTCCAATCACGTTTGACCGGTTTCACTCTTGATTTCAACTTTCACTCAGATCCCATTAAGTGCTAAAGGTCATTTTTCTATATAACTCCAAAAGACTCTGAATCAACATTGGAGCGCAATCAGTATTTTACATCATTCCCTTGTGTTCATCAGTTGTTTCTATCTTTTATTGAGAAAATTATTGTTCTTTTCATGTTGAATATGTTCTTAATCTACGCGTTATTTTGTTTGAAACCCATTCCTATCAATTCACTCACAATGAATCTTTGAAAACAACCTTCTTTGTGCTTTTTTCGTTTTACCAGATATCCTTTTTAGGATATACGCATAAATTAAAGAATCTGTTCAACAAGATTTTGATAGAACTTGTAAACTTTATGAACCACGAAAAGATCGTTTTGAGTGTATTCGCGAAGATATGTGTCGAGAAATTGCCAACTTTACACTCAAAGGACCTTATCAACAAACTGGTGTATATTTGACAAACATTGTTTCTGATCATTCTTGGATTAATGATGACTTTGTTGTAGCCTTTAAGGGTAAGTATTGCATTTGAGTATTTTATCTCTGTGTTTATTTTATGACTTTACAAGTAATATTTAAGACTGATTTTTGTACTTCAACGAATCACAGTTCTGTCATTGGTAGCTGATGTAATGGCCTTGAATTTCTATTGCTGTTGTTGTTATCTTCGTCATCTAATACTCTTTCAATGGATGTTGTGGACAGCATTTGCAAGTGTATGAAAGCGTGTCTCATTGGTTTCACTGTGAATATTTATGTTTAGTAGAATTGAATGTCTGCTGTTGTAACATGTATAATTGATCAAAAATTCCTAGGCAAGCGATTTAAAGACGTTTTCTGTCAATCCTGAAACATGATTGTCATCATTCAAGTGGACCGGTAAACATCGGCCTTCAAGAAAACACGTGGTTTTTGCAAGCATAAGCAGTCGTTCTTATCTCATTTCACTTATACGTGAGATGCTTTCTTTTTTCCTGATCAAAGTTATCTAGTTTAGTCACTTCATTTAGTCTTATCTTGTTAGTTATTTTCTCAAATTAAATGTCTATGTGTTTGAGTGTAGTAATGGTTATTAGAAATCTTGCTTCTTTCGCTAATTAGGGTTGTCGAATATTTAAGTTCGAAGTTTCAGCAAGTATCTGTGATCCGTCTTCTCTTCTGGTAATTTCTAGTACTATGTTAAGTATAAATTACTTGAATATATTGGAATCTGATTGGTAATTATAGAGATAATCATTGTAGTATAATTATTATTCATCTGTCTTTCGGAAATACTTCTGTTATCAGCTTACTGTCTTTTCAATTTACGGAAACACACTCAAAACACTATCCTTATGTAAATCCCTTTACAATGTTTATGAATATAATAAATGCATAAGCTGAGTGAAATGTATATGAATGCTCTACACTTGATCTTGCCGTTGACAATATCTTCATTTTTCATTTTTTGTAGATATTACTTATGAAGGGGTGATCAATTTTATCAAACACTTCTACGGACGGATTTTTATTGAGGGTCTTATCTATGGAAATATCACCCAAGAGGTGAATTTGTCTAATTTTTTAAACTTCATTTAAATAACTGTTCTAATATGTCTAAGCGTCTCTTCCAACTTCTCAGAGATTGATTTCCTCTCGGGACTACAAGGGTTCCATCGTAGTATCTAGATAATACAGTCATGTAACAATCAGGTATCCGAAATAACAATTTGCTGTGGATCAACAAGATACTTAGTATCTAACTCAGTGTAAAATATCGAGACGGTACAGAGAGATTGACAACAGTTCCTCTCTAAACCCATGGGTCAAATTTGAGTCAGTTGGCATCTACAACTCCAGTAAAATACTTCAATAAACCGTAGTACACGTATTTGTTGATTCAAATATTGAGCAGATGACGACATCTTTCCCTTTTTCAACTACTAGGAAACTCAATCTAGCTTTGTTTTTTAAATATGGCGTGTAATTCAAAGTGCGGCTAGCCTCTGTTTATAATGGTCCCATGTAGTAGGTTCACCAGTTTCGGAGGCCTTGATGAACACCGATAGAATTACGTATTCTGGTGATTAAATGTTTGATAGCAGTACTGTGTTTTAATCCCAGTTACTTTGGTATTAGATCGGGGTTTCGTTGGTTTGCACCTTTCTAAGTTTTTTAATTGTTAAGGTAAACATATACTGTATTATTTGGAGGAAATGAATTTTTTTCTTGAAATAGTGTTTTCCTCAAATTAGCCTTCATTTCCATGACAACTATTCCATATGTACAATTCTCTATCTACAGGATGCTATAGGATATCTGGAAATGTTTCAGGATTTACTAATGAAGAAAATGAATTCTAAACCACTTCTGTCATCACAAATCACAATGGCACGAGAAGTGATCATCCCTAAAGGTAATTGTCTTAGATTAACATTTCTTCAGTTTTCAGGCGACATTCTTATCATTTTCTTTAGTATAAACATGTTTTCCTCAGTTTCTTTTATTCGAAGTTTAATTTGTATATAATTTGACGATTGCAGTTCCTACAAATAATCGTTCGTGACCAGAACAGCTTTGCGTTGGAGTCGCGAACTTCAGCACAGAGTGACACAAGTCTAAATTATTGACGGGGCACGAGTCTCACGTTGATATCACATACACCCTGCTGATCAGCCGCAATACGCACTAAACCCAAGTGCTGAGCTCACTGATGATTGGTTTTCAACATCTAACATAAATATAACATAGACCACTAAAGATTGATGCAAACGTTCTCGATAAAGTACAAATGAGAGCTACTGAGTCGGTTGTCAAACTGACAGGCAAAGCATCGAAGGATAAAGCGTGACCTGTAACGACCTACAAGATTATACATCGATTTGACTACCTTAAAAAGAAAACATAATCTCTCCAAGACTGATAGTCACATAGGAGCCCCACTCGTAATACATAAGAGGAACATGTTCTTTATCCTCATAAAAACTCAGTTCCAGTTGTCAATAGTTTGACTATCTAAACAACTTTTGGTTGCAAAACTGACCGTTAAGTATTAAAGTAATCCCAACATAATGATTTAAGATAACCTAACAAGTGCTGTAGGCAAATATTCTGAATACGGGTTATTCTTCTGATGTAAATATGACTTTTTGTGTTATTTCAAAGATGTAGCGCTAAGTATCCACATCCACCCTACAGATACCCTATGCGAATTTCTGAAGAGCTTACATATCAACAGTAATCTTGAATATCATTTATTTTTCCTGACAGCTGTTTATCCAACAGACGCAAGGCTATCGGTAGTTTACAGTTATACGTTCTGACTCAATATTTGTGCCTTGCTCCCATACTCAATAATTGAAGTGAGTCAATGGATAAAACAAAAAAACAATAGTAGTATGAATCCTATGGATTCACCTCACCTGCTTTACAACCTGTAGAGAGTAAGGTAGGACTGTGGCTCATTGTTCTAGGCAGTTGACTTTCAATTAGTGAGTGACAAGCTGGAACCCCGCTCCACCTATCTTGGTTTGGGTGACCTCACATGATAAGTGTGGCTCATTGACTACTGCACGAATGTGTACAAGTTTGTTAAGTGGATTCATTCAGAATATAATGTTAATAATTCAAAAAGCACACAAAATTAGTAATTACAACCATTTATTCATACTTCTTCAGCTTTAAAAAAGGTGCATACGTTATTGAATTCAATTCATTTGTTCAGTCTTCCCTTAGACTTTTTCTGTTTATTTCCATACCTTTATATATCTGTTACTTTCTCTGTGTGCCATTGCGAAATGTTGTGGCTTGAACCATTATAATCTTTACTAGTACTTAGTTTTATGTGGCAGTTTGACGTAACAGAAATCGTCATGAAAGAAGATTGCTATGCTGTCATACTTGTTTTTCATTTTGGATATTGAATATGTATAGAGACATACCTTCTGGTCGTATTCATTTCTCCCTCAGATGAAAATGAGATGTGTTATTGCGCAGCATCTTTAACTCTAAGTTACCATTTTCTACTATTGGATTATAAAGTTTTTCATATTCACCTCTTATGTGCTTATGTGTTACAGTCACAAAGTACGTTTTAAGATACTACTGGTTCATTGTGCATGGTCAAATAACTAAGCTTCAATTTCAATAAATTTAGCTTTAAAATCCTTCAAACTTTGGAATCTACCGGACTTCATATTTTAAAGCCATCATCATCAAGACCAACACAAGACCAGGCATTACTGCGTAACGGTCGAAGTTGCCACACCTCATATCACCACATCAAGTAGCATAGCAATAAAATAAAGATAAGGAAGGGAAGAAAAATCGAGGAAGGAAGAATGAAGAGATGATGAGATTAAGATAATGTGTGTATGCACTTGCGCTAGTGATATCGGTTCTGTGCCATGTCACTTAAAGTCTCCAACAACTGGTTTCTCTTGTCCGACGGACCCTGACTGGCTAGCTTGAACTTTATATTCAGTAAATTTTTCTACACTTCCCCGATTCACAATGAAAGTGGTCTGTATGACTCTTTCCCTTTAGATCATTTCTTTTATCCTTCTTCTATCGCATAAGATTTCCTCTGAGTATCATATTTGTTCTAACCTTACAATTACATTGTCCATTTTTCAGAAACACCATTGATTTCGTTTGAAAGTGTTATAGCTTTCAGTGTAGTGACTTCATAATGCTTCGGTCCTAATAAGCTTCTTATCTTCAGCACCTTCTATGTGTAAAATTGATTACTATCTTCAATATAATGGGATGATTCTTTTGTCTTGTGGAATGAATTTATGTTGATATGTATTGGTTTTCTGCAGTATCGTTGTTAAAAGCTGTTTAAAAAGCATTTAAACGTGGTTAATGTGTACCTGTAATCACGAAGAACATCAACTGGGATACGTTGTCTTCGACTTCAACACCAAATAACGCAGATGTGAATGATCAAAGAAATTCCAGTTTCTTCATGGTTGCAGATATACCTTATTAATTGAACTAACAACCACGAAACATATGTCCTTGCCTTCTTGCCGACTGACTCCCAACAACCAATGGCGTTAACATGGTTTGTAGAATCATTGGTGTTCTTTTTTATAGAGAAACCGTCTAGTGTGTCTATTGTTGAATTCTTAGTGGAACGGAAATCGAAGCTTATTGTGAATACATTTCCGTCTTTATTGACATTTATGCACTCATTGGTTATATAATATTCAACTCTTGGTTTCATTCGATTCATGCTTATGCTACAATATCTTCTTATTCACATTGTTATATATTTTAAGACTTCTTACATAATGTTCATTCCTACGTTTAACTGACCTCAAGCTGCCAATAGTAATAATATTACTAAAGGATGTCGATGATGTTTGGCGTCAAATTTGCATACGCATTGTATTTATATTCGATTTCGCAGCTTATAGAAATAATATCACCCGAAATACGTTTGCTCACCTGGGTCTTTCTTTCATGGTACCCAAACAATATTGAAATATCTGACTTATATTTTATTCAACCTTCTTTTTTGTTGCCAAGTAAGTGTAATATTTACTGTCAATGAAACAGCTTGATAAATTTCATATTTTCTCTTCCTTTCTCCTCATACATAGATTCCAGCTATCGTTATCAGCGTTATATTTCTGGTCAACCGGCATCTGCTATTTACTATTATCTTCAATGTGGTGACCAGTCAACGCATAATGACGCACTACTGAATTTGTTTTGTCAAATTGTGAGCGAACCTGCTTTCAATATTCTGCGAACGGAACAACAATTAGGTCAGTAATAATGACATAATATGATTATATTTATAGTTTGATAATAAGATATATCACAGTTTGCACATCCATATATATATATATATATATATATATATATATATATATATATATGTCAGTACTAAGTTCATTGGTTATTGAATTTGAGCTCCAGTTAAGTTTATCGTATATCTTGCCAATGGAACGCAATATCAAGACAAGACTAATAGGGTTGAACAATCGACTTTTCAAGTAAATGAGCCCCGTATGTAAACACCAATCTGAGTAACAGGTTATTATGATAGTTCTTGATGTAAGGTATGAGTCGTAGCATACTAGGTAAATAACTGTACTCATCTGAATTAGATTAAACATTGAATGAAGCACAGTATCCTTATTTTTGTTGTTATCCGAATAAGTCGAAATTTACGAGTCATTTGATGAGTACTTTCGATTTTTTGCTAATTTTAAACGCTGATCTGAACCCTATGTTCATCACTTCATTTTCTCAATGAGATACTTATATACTAGTTGACAGGCAGCTGTTGAAATTCCGGGGCATATATTGAGGGTTGATTTACCAGCGGTTGCTCGGATGAGGTAATCAGATGCCTGTCAATAACCAAGTGTGTTTTGCATCGGTATGCTGTGTGCTGTGCAACAGCTATGAGAGGCGATAGCTGAAGGTAATGTTAACGGTATAGGGTTTCATTCACTGATTTCTTCAAAATAAGCATACTGTGTAGTTTTAAGGCTATTGATTAGTCACTGTAGGGTAACCAACTTCATGTTGTCTAGTCCTGTTTGCTGACCGAATCCTATCGATCATTTTGCAGTATGGCCACCTGAATAGGCAGCTCAGCATCGCGATGCACTTTGGTAGATGTTAGTTGGATGGAGACAATGGACAGGAAGCACTGGTTTTAGGTTTCATGCTTGTTGGCACTCGTCAGTAAGGTGTATCTGCAACCCTGACGGAACTGATTTTCCCTCCTGAAGTTTGAACCCACATCACTTAGTGTTGTAGGCAGCGACGTTACCATTGAGCTATACAGGCGGCGACTGACCTGTAGGACTGACTTAGATACATTGGGTGGTCGCAGCCCGAATAGCACAGTGGTAACGTCTCTGACGCAGGTTTTAGTCGCAGGCGGTACATCAGTTCTGTCTGAGTTGCATATACGCCCTGCTGACAAGTACCAGCAAGCACGAAACATGGATTCACGCCTTCCGCCTGATCGCCTTTATCCAACTAACATATTTTAGGCCAACTTCAATGACCTAGGTAAATGAGATAAACCAGTCTGTGGTGCTGTTAGTGTTCTTATGTTCATGCATAACATATGCGCAATCACTTCTTATGTGCTGATTTTATTAGGATGTAAATTGCTTCGAAGTAGTTGGACCAACTTACAGATTTAATCCATGAAGTCCTTAAATATTAGTCTAAGCTGTGTGAGTAATTTATTCGTCACAGGCGACCGGGTGGTCGATGTTAATCGTTAAAGGTTTATAGATAATTTTTCACTATCATTAAATTATGTCGCATCCTCCATTATTTCGTCCATTTCTGTTTTTCGTTGTCTATTGAATATAGATGGTTGTATTCATAAAGTCATGACTAGACAAGTCTTATGTCCGAATATGATGTTTCCATTCTAATAATCCAGACAACCGAGATTTATTTTCACTTTTAATATTACTCAACTGAATTTTACTCATCTTATTATATTGCCGCTAAGAAGCACTAAAATTGACTAGGAATATAGTTCTGTTGTGTTTAAAAGTGATTAAAATGGACTCAATAGATCGAAGAAATAATCTTCAATCCTTTTAGTCTTAATGCTTGTCTGCGCATCCGATTATTTGACAACAGACGTTATTTCATTTCACTTAAAGCTTGGGGATTTAATTTATCCCAAAACGTTTGGTTGATCTTATAACTAAGTATTCCTTAGGTAAAATGTAGCAGACTATCAGTATTTCATGGTTTAGTACGAAGAGAGTATGAGGTATTCAGTAAGAATGAATTACTTTTTCCTTAGAAACAGTGAAAGAAGTTTTAACTTGCACACTTTAAAGGTACTATCATTTTATAGAGTGTTATTTTCTTTTGTCCACTTCATCAAGAGATTGTTTGCTTGTTTTTAAATGTATGCTTATTTGTTAATTCTCTCTTGATACCCTTTTTCTTTGTAACATTTTTATTTTAAGGTTATATTGTACATGCTGGATCCAGAAGATCTAACAAACTTCAGGGTTTTCGTATTTTGGTGCAATCACCCCATCATCCTAATAAAGTTGATAAATCCATTGAAGAATTCCTACTTACTCTAAATGTATGTACACTCTATTTCTTTTTCGCTTCATTATAATAACACATTGAAAGCTCATTTTGAAGTAATCTGTTAAACTTAACTAAGATTTTCACATTTCAAGTGTTAAATTTTTCATAATACTGTTGCTAAGTAAAATTTGAAGTTTTCAAAGATGTCACAGTTTGAATCTTCTAATTTACGTTGAACAAGTTATCAAACCTATTTCGTGCCTATAAATTAGAGTTTTAATCAAGGGAATGCAGAGAAGTGTTATGAAAGACGTTCACTAGGCCTCTAGTTAATTGTGGTTGCTTGTATTACCCCGTTATTAAGTGAACCGAATTGATTTGTCTCCATTAGCATCTGTATGAGAGCCCATATCCCAAGCAACAACATTAAAACTATATCCATCGCACAAGAAGTGGTCATCGTGAGTCAGTGGTCTAGTGGATAATGCTCTGGCGTTTGAAGTGATCGGTTTCGAGTTCTAGTCTTAATGGGAACAACATCTCTCTCCAGGAGGCAGGTACATGTGGCTGACGAGCCCCAGATAGGACGAAACACGCGTCTTGAATTCTGGTGTTAGCCACTGTCCAACATTACCATATAACTCCAATTATTTGTTGATATTTTCCTTGTTTAGAACAAAGTTACTCTCTGGAATCTAAATAAGTTTTAAGTACGAATAATTTTTCTAACATAGTATCATCTCTAAATTTTTTAAGTTTCCCTATGCACTTGCTTTCAGATATAGATTAAGTTCCAGAGATAATTTGTTTGTTGTAAGATGAATCTATATTGTTTTGTTTTGCAATGAACACATCATCTTTTAAAACAAATGTGTAGTGTATTCCTTCTCAATAAAAAATAATTTCTGTTGGGGCTAAATCATATTGTTCAAGTAATTGTTTATAAAAGTAGTAGCTTTTACATTTCGATTGTGTTGTTGTCTAGTTATTTTCTTTACATATAATCACTTTTACTTTATTTATATCAATTTTAGTATGCTTATATTTTATGCATGTCAGTCAATTTTTGTTACTTCTTTGAATTTATATTAGAATTTGTTAGAAAATATGTCTGGTAAAGAATTTGATGTTCATGTGCAGTCACTTTTAACGCATTTACAAGAAAAACCTAAAGGTATGCAAGAGCAATTCTTACGTCTTTGGTCTGAAGTGGCTTGTAGACACTATAATTTTAAAAGACGTAAGTTGTTATGTTGTTTTTGTACATATAGTTCATTTTCTTAACAGCTCCAGATTATTTTATTAAAAAATGAAATGAGTCAGAAATACTAGATTCGTAAATTTTACAGCATTTGATGATATAAACTTTGTTTTCTGTTTGCGAGTATGGAGTCATGAGTTTGAACCTCTCTGATCTGCTGGAATTTAAGCAACCAAGTAGTATTATTGGTTCTCACACAATAGATGTGACTGATTGCTCACTGTATGAGCGTGCATGTCTATTTTCTTTTCGTACGAGAATGATCTTTTTATTTTGATAAGAAACATGAGTCATGACATAATTCAAAATAATAGTCTCTAACTCACTGGCTATTCGCTAACTGAAATATAACACTCAGTGAGCAATCACTTCACAAATCCTATTCAGTGTTTCAATGTTTTGAAAATGAGAGGTGTGTACAAGTGTTTACATTTCATCATGTCAGTTTCTGAACTTAGAATGCTTTTTGCAATCTAAAAACAATAGAATTATGCAGGAAGCAAATGATTAATCTACCGGCTTCATAAGATCGGTTTGTTCAGTGATATGATTTGTGTATGTAGAAATCATAATCATTATTTAATCTTATAACAGGACACTGATTCCAGTAAGATTCAACCACTTTAAAAAAAGTGTATCTTATCATTATAGAATGGTAGGTCAAAAGACTTCAACAATCGAGTTTTTGTTCATGTAAAGCTTTTACAGTTTAGATCGTTGCAACCATAACACCTACATAAACCGTATTGTATTTCTCAAATAGTATGTTCCCTTGATCATCTTCATCAAGGCAAGGAGAATAAGATTTGTAAAATGAATCAAATTCACATTTCTTTATATCTTAGCTTCTCATGTACAAGTAATCTAAAACAAATACGAAATAAGTATATGATGAAACCCATCTGCCAACAGAGGTCGAGCAATTCGGTCCAACGGGAAATTACAACTATCAAACATAACAACTGAAACCCGTAGTAGAAGAGGCAGCTTTCGTTCCCCAGTGGCCTAGTGGATAACGCTCTGCCATATGAAGTGGTCGGTACTGGGTTGCAGTTGCGCTGAAACTATATCACTCATTGACATGCAGGTACATATAGCTGAGGAGTCCTGAAAAGGACGAAACACGCATTCTGGATTTCTCTGCTAGTCACCAAGATGAATATAATATCATGAATAAAGCTCATATTTATTTATTTCTCGGGTTCTCAGCTACAAGTAACCTAAAATAGATACTGAATAAGTATGTGATAAAACTATAAACATACTTTTGTGTTGAGACATTATATGTAATCTGTTAGTGTTTTGATAGGTTTCTGCTTCTTTTAATGTGCTAATTAACGTTTATCGCTGAAGGTAATTGTATAATGTCAGCTTGTACACTAATACATATCTTTATTCCTGGATACTATAAACTTAATTGAATAAATTCTACGAATCACTCAGGTTGAATCATCTTAACCCTTGAATCCTTAATCATTGACTATTCTCATTCGTCCTTGTAAGACGGCATAGTAAAATTTTCCTTATCCTAAAAACCAGATCATTAAGGTTAATTGTTTTGATCTCTCTTATCATGTAACCAATTTGTGTACCGAATTCAACACAGTGAAGAGCTATTCAAATTCCGAATAACCTCAATATTAACATTTGATTGTGACAGTTAACCATTAGAGATTCAAATCTCAAAGAATATATGAAATTTTTCTAATCCCACGCAAAATCATGAAACATGAATTAAAGGTTTATCATAGATAACTCTCAAAAATCTAACAACTGCAAATCATTACAATACTGAATGACTTAATTATAGTGAACAAATTACACAAATTGATCCCTATAAGGAATATAACATTAAGTACATGACGATTTTTAGTGAATAGACCTTTTTCTTTTATTTATATATATATATATATATCGAGTGGTAAACATTTTTGGAGTGACAATTATTGTGCAGCTAACTAGTTTTTTTTCATTTTAGAAGTAGTATTCATCACGAACTGACGTCGGTTTGGGGACTGTTGAAAACCTAGGAGCACTGAACAGCTTTATGGTTTAATATTGTGAACTGACAGAAATTGGAAACTGTGAATCACTGAACTCCCGTATAATGGCTGAATGGTTAATGCGTTCGCCGTGAAACCTGTAGGTCCTGAGTTCAATCCCTACCCGGGTCGTGGGTGCGTACTATTGAGGAGTCTCATACTAGGACGGAACAGCTACCTCGTGCTCCGACGTTCTCAGTGGTTCTCTAAACGATGTCAGTACGGGATGAATACTACCTTTAAGTCGAAATCCTTATTCATCCCAAAAAATATTTTATTATTATTATTAGAAGTTATGTAACACTAAAGTAGATAGTCAGTAGTTAACAAAGATCAACAGACAAAGGAAACTACCAATTAAACTTAAAACACAATGAAAATTGAAGGAATCAAAAGCCTGATAATAATTTATGGATATTCGGCTAATTAATATATGAATAAACTGAAGTTGATATTGAAAATAAAAAAATCGACCAAATCCTTGTGAATGATTTTGGGAGTTGGTTTATTTGCAGGTGGTTAAGAGAAAGATCCTGAAGTTTTAACAGAGGATTTAAAAAATACGAATAAAGATGAACAGACTACTCACATGTAGACAGATAGATGAATGTTCTGTCATGTCGCATATATAAAACAGATATTGGAGTCTACGTGACAATAGAAATACGTGATTGCAGACTCTAAGTGGTGATATGGTTATGAATTGATATCATTGGCGCAGATGTATTTACACAATATCTTTATCGTCACACTGAATTTCAGTATTATCCCACTATTCTTTACTCGCTTCTTATGACTTTTTACCAATCTTTACTGCCTTATTTCTATATTCTTCTTCTTGATGCATTCTCACTTGATTTGCTGATATGAGGCATGGCAATTCGGACTATTACGTAATTATGCCAGGTTTGACATTGTTATTGACTGTCATTGAAATTGTATACTTCTTCATTCCACAGACAGATGAAACATCTTTTAGTCAGTTGCTCCATTCGAATTTTCAAACCTTATTATTGTAGTATATTTAATTGAAATTCGTAGTATTTGAATAAATAATGATAATTTTCAAAAGAATCTTTCTGATGAATTTTTAAGATTTTCTGTTTACTGCCTTTTCTTGTGTTTACCAGACTCACATGAAGCGAACGCGCTTAAGTCGCTTACAAAGGATGATGTTATCAACTTTTTCAAAGTAAGCGTTATCGTTAATAGTAAAATTCTTTGTTAACAATATCTTGTTGCTGCATAATACATAGCATTTTATTGATTTCTTTTTATTGCTTTACCGACTCTTCGATAAAATTTTCAAAGTGTTCTATAATGTGAACTTTATTTCAGCATACTTAGGATTAGCGACAATTTCTAATGTTGTGATGTACCAGATGTCTATATCGCTCTGTCTTTGCGACATACATCATTCAATGAATCAACAATATTCAGCTGATTTGGTGCCATCATATGACCAGTCATTCATAAAAGTTGAAATGAGTATCCTCAGCTCTCCGAGACTGGACGTAGGTAAAACATGTTTGTTTTGACCACCATCTATTCCAAGGCGAAATGCTATCTAAAGGAACGTTATACTGAAAAGAACTAAAGGATAGCACTTGATCTGATTTGCGTAAAGAAATAAAAACTTTCGAATCGATATTTACAAGGCAAGCAGGACTGAAGGTTGAAGATTCTTTTGGCCCCACAACTCAGAATCGATAACTGTTATACAGATGCACCCATACTATATCTTCATCTGAAATCCATAACCGCACTTCATAATTTGCTTGAACTGCTCTTCTTTTGTATTATGACTCATCCCATACTATTTTCATTTATTTGCCTTTCCTCCCGCTACTTTCTACCTTAGCATGCTTATATGAAGTGTCACTACGCGGACTACTACATAGTAATACTATTTGCCATGTTGATATTCTGTGTTTGTTCGACTCTGAGGTAGATCTAAATTAGAGTACACCTCTTACTCATAAACATTTTTGCTACGTATCTAGAAAGAAAATTACTGAATAACAAACTAAAACGTTATTAAATCGAGAAGAAAAAAACAACACCATTAAGAGTGACATCTGTCGAAGATATACAATGTGAAAGAATCTCGCAAAAATAATTCGAAATTTAAAGTTTAAAATATGACTGACAAAATCAACTTAGAACCTCGCATATAGCCTTAGTTGCCACACTTCACAGTAGGACAGAAGGAACAGGTGCATAGAAAAAAAGTGATATCAAACAAGATAAATTTACTTCCAGCAGTAAATAACCTGACGATAAAGGTTATTGAGAACATTCAAGCTTTATAAGATGTCAAGAAGAAAATACATCTGTGCCATTGTGACTGATTTTCAGCCACATCACCAAAACATCAACCACTGATTCCTTTCGTCTCGGGGACAGCATGCAAGCAGTCTACATCGCCCTACATGACTCGGACCAACAATCAAAGACTTGATGGTCTAGTACTGGGTCTTGGTCTGACCACATTGAACCGTCTTCCAACTTAATCCAACTTCCCCCAGTACAGCAAGTCTAGGTGGACTTTGGCTCAGCTGGCGCAGTACTTGTCCAAGCCATCTCAGTCGACTAAGGTTCACAATCTCATGAATGGACTTGCTGGTCTTGCCAGGTACCCTTAGTCTAACCTCAAGATAAATACTACGTTCTGTAGAAGTTCAGTAATCACTTATGTAGAAAGTCATTAGATTAGTAACACTAGGAGATGTAAAACAGGATTTTACTTGCATCAGAATATGACTAAACTGGAAATCCCCAGTGCGTAGTGTTAATCATCTTTTTATTTTCAATCGTAGAACCATATTGACCCATCTTCGGTGACACGAAGAAAACTAACAGTTCAAGTGGTATCCGATGAAAAGCACAGCATTAACGCGGAATCTCATAATTTTGATTCAAAAGTTAGTTAGTTCCCGTAAAAATGAGTCGTCTTCTATGATTTGTGAAATTTTCCATCATCTTCTAAACACACGTTTTTGAAGTTAATTGATTTTTTGTAATTACTTAGTTTTTGGTACTGATATGCTTTTTTTCCCGTCATGAATCTTTTCCTAAGCAGCCAAGGTATGCTTCAAGTTGGTATTCATCACAAACTGACATCATTTGGAGAACCCATTGATGATAAATACGAACTTGGAGTCAACAAATCCCCATACACCTCCAAATTGAATGAATGTTCAGTGCTCATTAATGACTTTGAGATGAGATTTCCCGAAGTCCTAATCAAAAATTATAATTTGTTGAGGACAAACCAAGTCGAACTTGACGACTGGCACTCAACGACGGCATCAGATAAAGTTCGCGTTATATCGCGAATTTATAGAAGTAGGAAAATGTAGGCCATTGAATTCTGATCCAATGGCTCAAGAGCGAATTTGAACGAAATTTGAACGTTTTGTGTTCGATTTCTGACGTGTTCATGGGTGTGCACTTTTGAGAAATCACATGTTAGGATGAGACAGCTGTTCTCCCAGGTTTTCATTGGTTCTCTGGCTGACGTCAGTTCATGATTAATACCATCTTGATATTAATAAATCCCCACAAACTTCCAATATGAAGCCAAGTTAGGCATTTTCAATTCTTTTGTAGTCAATATGTAATGTCTATCAAATTTTACATTTTTTCTTAAAAAATTAGGCAGTTTGCTTCAGCATTTTATCATTTTTGTGCATCATCGTATATTTCACTCCTCAGAAATATGTATATTTCTCGTCACTACTCATCTTATCGTGTCAAAAAATCTTTGATTAGTTTGCTTTTCTTGGAATGTGTAAGAATACCATTGAGCTGAAAGCTATATAATGCCCTTCTCGACTGTATTCTACCTAATAGTCAGAATGAGCCCCTTCCAGTTAGGTGCTGCACAACTGAGGTGCTAACTTGTACTTGTTTTTTGACTTCAATTTACTCACCTATTTATCCCACTGCCGACACCTTGAGGAATAAACACATCTGACATTGGTTATTTTCTTCATCCTGCGAGTAAAGATATCCTAGCAGGGACCCATATGCCTAATTTCGGTAAATTGTCAGCTACGAAATCTGTCAAGTGCTTGTTGCAATTATCTGTCAGTGACTGGTCTTTCCTGTTTACTACTACGTTTAGTCTGAAGCAAGAATGACGTTTCTAGTGGCTGCCGTTAAAACATGCACTATAATGGAAGTTGATACCTTGAGTTATGAAATACTGATTATTATTATACGCATCAGTTTAACAGTGATGACATTCTCTGCAACCATTAAAAGCTCTAACTCTGCCTCGCTCTATGTTTGATGGTACAGTGTTCGGAGGGATAAGTCATGGTCTTGTAGTTGCTAATGCAACTCTTTGATGAGAATTATACCGAAATGAATGACTTTCGTATAAACTATGTTAACGAATATATTTAGTATATCTTTACTGATGAGTTTGTTTACTAATAGATGCTGATCATATGTCATATACCTTCACAGTTGTTTTTAATCATTTCCTCTTTACTTTAGGTGGTGGATTTAAAAGATCATACTGATTTAAAACGCTCTTGTCCCTTGAGTGCTCTTGCAGCGCCATTTATGATGTTCAAATCTAAAGTTGATGGAAACATACTACGATTTTGATTCTTTTCTCCCGGTTGTATATGTAAAGAGATTGAACACATGAATCTTTTACCGGCTAACAAAATCTAGACTTTTCGAATGATCCACTTAACTCTTATTTTTTGTAATTTATCCACATACATCTCTCTCTCTACCTCTCTCGGGCAGATTTTAATTTGAGAGTATCTATCACTCAGCAGTTTAAACTCTGATTAAAACATTAAAGTGGAATGAAGAATATGTTCTTGTCCTACCGTTTGTGAATATGAATAAATTTTATGGTGAAAAGTGTCGTTATTTTCTTGTTTCATATCCCCTTATGTACATTTGCTAGTACCCCAACCTGTTGTAAGCAAAATTTTCGGTCATTTTATATCCTGTTACAGAGATAAACAAATGACCAGTTAGGAAATTTGATGCATCTTTGGTGGTTAGCAATGGGATCTAGGACGCTCTTTTCGTCTTGTATGAGAATCGTCAGCTGCACCCTAGTGATTGATATTGTTTTAACTGAGACTCCAACCCAGTACCTATCGCCTCGAACGCCAAAGCGTTATCCGCTGCGGCGTGCGACACACCTCTTGTCCAACAAGTATCAGTTTTTATGCCTCATACTTGTGATTTCCCGTTGGTATACCGGATCAAATTACTTGGCCTCTACTTACAGATGGGCTCTTATACGCATGCCTCAATACTGCTTGAATATTCATTACATTTTAGTTTAATTGACGTCTAGGAGTGGAATCCAGGATGGACGTTTCGTCCTACTTAGGAAACTTCTCTAAGGAGTTTTTTGTCAGCATAACTCCCCTAGTTTATTAGTTTACTAGCCCGTCCTAAGCCCGGATAAAGAGGGAAGGTTGGGCATAGGGCTAACAACCCTACCCAGTAAAACAAATCCAATCTCTAAAGAAACTTGGAAGCTCAAAAAAATAAAAATAAACTTATTCCTCGTTGGAATCGGTGAGACGAAATGAACCCGGTTGGTGAGAACCTTCGGGAAGCAAAGAGACCAATGTGTCTTCACTCCTCTCGATGAAGACAAAAGTAAACAAAGCGACATAGAATGTCCGCACAATGTTTCAAGCTGGCTGGCAAGGCCGCTCAGATTGCAAAAGAGATGAGAAGGTATGGCATAGAAGTGCTAGGAATCTGCGGATTGAATGGAAGTGGACTTTCCAAACTGTCAACTGCAGAGTCAATAATCTACTCCTAGATTGTCACTCAGACGACAATCACGAGCACACTGAGCTTTCGAGTGGCTATCATGATGTCCCCAAGAGCATAAAAGGCTCTCAGGTAATGGAAACCAATCTCTTCCGGGATCTTGAAAGCAAGATTCAACTCAGACGGGAGGAAAGTAATAATAATACGGTGCCACGCTACGCACCTACAAATAGTGCACATGAAGAGAAGAAGGAGGAATTCCACACACAACTGCAATCAGTACTGGAAAAGATCACAACCCAGTTGGCGACATCAAAATTCTAATGGGTGGTGTGACGTGAACGCCAAACTGCGAGCAGACAACACAGGAAGAGAACTAACCATGGGTGGAGGAGCGCTCGGTGAAATGAACGAGAATGGAGAACTGTTTGCAGATTTCTGCGCATTCGACGATTTTGTGATTGGAGGCAGTGTGTACAAGCACAAGGATATTCACAAAACGACATGGATTTCACTAGATAGACACACCAAAAATTAGTTTGACTTCAACTCAGTCTCAGTAAAGTAGAAACGCAGTCTACTGGACACAAGATCAAGAAGAGGAGCACATGTAGGTTCAGACCATTATCTACTGCAAGGAACCTACCTTCAAGGTGAAACCCTTCAAAGAAGCCGGCCATAGGCGACCACACTTCAAGTTGAACACCCAGGAACTAAAACATAAAACTATGAAAAAAAAATCTTCACGTCAATCAGTCAACAGTAAAAAAAATGGGAGACATTAAGCAGCATCCCTGAAGTAACCTGCGTGGAGGAACACTGGAACTCTTTGAAAGAAGTGTAGTGGGGAACCTGCATAGCCATGTTCGGAAGGAAGAAGACAAGGAATGGATCTCCACGGACATGTGGAAGCTGATAGAGGAGAGTAAGATGGTGAGGCAGAAGATGAACCAGTGCAGTGCAGGGATGAACAATGAAAAGGTCTGTGTGCAACATAAAAAACACTATACAAAGAAGTGAAAAGGAGTGCACGCAAAGACAAAAGACACTTTTACAACACACTGGCAAGTGAAGCAGAACAGGCTGCTGCAGGTAGGAGAGACCTGAAAGTACTATATCAAATAACCAGGTTGTTATCTGGAAAGGAAAATATCAACGTGGATGAGACCAATGAAAGATAGTGAAGGAAACTTAGTTACCAAAGAGGAGGAACAAGGGAAACAGTTGACTGACCACTTCGAAAAGCTCTTGAATCGACCACCAACAACAACAACTTGTCCAGAAATACCACCAGCAGCCCAGCCACAGAACTATCAGTGAACACAAACCTTTTGACAGAAACAGAAGTTAAGTCCTGAACACCATAAAGTCGCTGAAATCCGGGAAAGCAGCAGGACCAAATGGAACTCCTCTAGAAGCACTGAAAACAGAAACCGAGACAACAGCGGGCACGCTCACACCACTACTGAAGAAAGTTTGGAAGGAAAAGTATCTGCTGATTAGAAGAAGGGCTACCTTGTCAAACTCCCAAGGAAAGGAGACCTACGTCTTTACAAGAACTGGCGAGGAACCATGCTGCTGTCCACCTCGAGCAAAATATCATGCCCCATCATCCTGGAGAGACTGAAGGATGCTCTGGATTCCAAATTACGACCGAAACAGGCTGGCTGGCTTCAGGAAGAACAAATCATGTATGGATCAAATTGCTACGCTATACATCATCATAGAAAAGGATACAGAATGGTAGTCAACTCTCTACCTCAACTTCACCAACTTTGAAAAGGCCTTCGAGAGCGTCAACCGAGAAGTGATTTGGCAGTTGCTTCAACACTACGGAGTGCCACAAATCTTTATCAACCTCACTCAACAACTAAATGACGACGCCACATGCTAGGTGATCCACAATGGAAAGCTCAGTGACGCCTTTGAAGTGAAGACAGGGATGAGACAAGGCCGCCTATGTTCCACTAGGAAACCAAGGGAAAAAAAATGGTAGTAACAATGGACTTCAGTAGCACGCCTCCATTCCACTCTGTTCTCTGCGGTCTTTTCAACCTGGCACCACGACTGCCCATAAGCTTTCATTTTTTCCTCACATAATCTCCTCCATGTCACCCACGGACACCAAAACCGTCGTTTCCCCTTTTGGGCCCCACTCGAAGGCCTGGACGTGGTGTCCTCAAATGATCTTCTCAGTGCATACCCAGTCCATCTCTGCTTTCTTCTACATATTTATTGGGTAGTAGGTTCTTGGTTGGTTCGTTCCCAGAGTTTCCTGTTGCTCATTCTCTCTGGCCATCTAATCTTCACTTTCGAGGGTAGGCAGCTGTTGATGAATGTCTGTAGTATGTTGGAATTGCTTTTCGTGACACGCTAAGTTTCTGAACCATACAGAAGTACTGACTCATTAGACATTAGGGTTAAAAATTCGGATCTTGTTTGCGCTTTATGCTGAGTGCGGCAGATCTCCACGTTGTTTTCAGATTATTGAAAGCTTGTCTTTTTGCCGATTCTGGCTTTAACATTCTCATCTGTCCCGCTACCTGTGGATGAAACGATGCTACCTTGCCTAGGTAGGTGAATTAGACAACCTGCTTTGCGTTCCTCCTGCTGATGGTGATTGATGCCTGTTGTTTTTGGTTGGGTATCCTCATCACCTCTGTCTTCTGTACTTTCGTCTGAACGAAGTCCTGCCCTCATCTTCTTGCCTCTCCCGCCAACTTGTTAGTTTTTGTCTGTAAATCCTCGAGTTTGTGACACATTAGACACAAGTCGTAGGCCAAATCCAAAGCTTCTTCTGAAGTCTTCTCATCGGTCTAGCCGAAGTATGCCCCTCTTCTCGCTTCCCACACTTTGTTGCACGGTCCAGTTCATTCGACCACATTCAAGAAGATCGTCCGTGGTAGTAGGCAACCTTGTCTTACTCCTGTCCTTGTCTTCACTTCAAAGACATCACTAAGCTTTCCATTGTGAAGCACCTGGCATGTGACATCATACAGCTTATAGCCTTTGAATGAGACTGATCAGGGCTTGTGGCACTAAAACCAAAGTGTTGAAACGGTTTCCGAATTACTTCTCGGTCGGTGCTATCGAAGGCCTTTTCGAAATTCAGAAGCTTGAGATAGAGAGTTGACTTCTATTCTATGCTCTGTCCTATGATGGTGCAAATCCAAGGCATGCTGCGAATTATTTGAATCTAAAGACAGGTGCACCAATTTTCTCCTACGAAATGTATAAGTAGTAATGTATGTTCGTGGCTTCCTCGAATATAACAAGATTCTCCGGAAGCTCTGCACGCAGTTATCCCAAGGTGCCGAATAGCGGTTGAAGTCTTCCAAAATATGGTAAACATGAATCCACGCTTTAAAAGGTTTCCACCAACCGCCAAAAATTAAGGTGTGCGCCGAATCTAGTACACCCATTTGAAACTACGGGATAGCTAGTATGCACTTCACCAAAGGATTCACATTTCAGGCTGCACCCGAAACTGAGATCAAAAATTTGGACAAGAGTAGCAAAACTCAAGATGTGTGCCCGGGGTTATCAACGGTGAACAGAGCCAGAAGAGGCTCCTCCCAAGCATGTTATTATTACCAAAGTTCCCACGATGAGGCCTTGCATCAGGATAGAAAATCACAGGCATGTAATTTAAAGATATGTGCACCGACTTCCTCGGGATTACCCGCTCATGCGCCAAAAATTTGCACCAGTTGTAGAGATTATGAAGTTCGCCAAACTTCTCACATTACAGGGGGTGCACACGAGTTTTTTCTCCAAATCGTCAAGAGTGAAAAACGTGCTCCGTGTAATGTTAAGCGAATCAATTCGCGCCCAGAATTTTCTACAAAGTTAGA